TCCCGGTTATTTTAACACTTGTATCACACGAATTCCCTATATCGATACTTTAATTTCGTCCCCAAACATCGCCAAGCTCAATTCTCAATTTGAATTTCAAAAAGCCACCACTAGATTTCATTTAAGGTTCAGTATAATTCAAATTATTAGCATTCCGATTCGTCCAAAATCTTTGAAATTCGTCTCGTGAAGCAATCGGCGTTGAATTGAAAAAGCAAACTCGGTTTTTTGTCATTCGTTTTAATGTTCTTGTCGTTACATTTCGTCTGTGGTGACTTAAAACGTTGCGATTAAAAATGTGCCCAATCTTTGGACTTGTTTGCGCATTAATTAAATTTTAATTTTTAACAAATATTTCCTTATAAATGAAAGTATAGCTGTAAGTTTTGAGTTTTCTTTGACAATTAACATTGAAATTAGAAATTGAACTTTCACAATATGCTCTTTGCTTTATATATAGCATATTGAAATGTAGCATTAAGATCAAACACCTTCGTAATGTTGCTCTTTGATATATGATCATGAATAAAACAACAGAAATAAGGTATGTCTATCAAAGAACAACATTAAGAAGGTCTTTGAAGTTAATGCTTAGTGTCAATGTCATAAGTGCATATTGTGAAATGTCAATTTCTGACTCTAATGTTAATTGTGAAACACAGAAATAAAAATTCATAACTTCCAGCTAACTACTTTTGTTAATAAATATAAGAAAATATATGTTGAATTAACATTGTTTTAAAACGCATAATTCTTCAAATAAGTCTAAAGATTGGGCGCATTTTCTAATCGTATGAGATTTAAGTCAACAGGGACGAAATGTAATGACAACAACATGAAAACGAATGACAAAAAAACGAATTTGCTTTGTCAATTCAACGCCGATTGCTTCACGAGACGAATTTCAAGGATTTTGGACGAATCGGGATGCTAATAATTTGAATTATACTGAACCTTAAATGAAATCTAGTGATGGCTTTTTTGAAATTCAAATTGAGAATTGAGCTTGGCGATGTTCGGGGACGAAATTAAAGTATCGATATAGGGAATTCGTGTGATACAAGTGTTAAAATAACCGGGAAAACCTATACTTGGGAACCATGCACAACATTAAAGAACAGTTTCAAATTTTAGAAAAAGAAAACAAACACTTGAAATTGCAACAATTTGTTGGGATAATATTAAACCTGAATGTATGTGTTAACAAATTACACTATGAATGTTTAAGCTTTACCTGCTACATAAACGACACAGATCAAAGTTTGACTCGAAAATTATAATAACCAGATCCTTCTCTTTTCTAATTTGTGTCCACTTCTACATCTTTTGTACAATAAAGAATATTTCTCTTCACTTGATCACACTTCAAGAAGAAGAAGGCCAAACGAACCAGCATCGGTACAAACAACCAGACAATAAGAACAAACAGACCCGTTTGAACCCTCATAGTGCAGTGTCTCACCCACCCGTTAGTACACAGATCAAGGGCCCAGCAAACATGACGAGTGCGTGAGTTAAGACGGGAAAGAGATCTTTATACCCCCATGCCGCCTTATTACACCCCTTCCCCTCTCCCCCTGAGGGGGTTGGCGGGTATGGGAGACAAAAGGAGGACGATTTGACCAGGTGTTTGTCTCTTTTGTTCCCGGCCTGACTTCACAGGTTGTCGAAACAAAATGATACAGTAGCTTCCCAGAAAGTATCCGTACCTAACGGTGCAGCCGACTCAGTCCGCTATGCTTACTTTTGGTCGACCTGAAAATTGCCGTGTGTCAGTCATTAGCTTTCAAATTGGCTGGTCGTGGGTCCTAAGGTACAATTGTTCCCTCGCTAACGTTCATGACTGACTTGTGAGTGTCATACAGATTACATACAGGGTGCACTCCCCCCCCCCCCAAAAAAAACCCCAAAGTAGTGCAAGCAGATATCTTTTAATTTCTCAAAACTACTTAACATGAGTATTTCATCTTGATGGAGCATATTAATTATACTCTTGTGTATATTCAGTGAAAATGCCATGGACATCCGTTCATGCAAACCAGAGTTCTAACAGATTGCAAAAGGTTATGGTTTTTCACCCATTTCAGTGGGATTTACACAGTCAGTGATATCAGTGCATCAGATTGTCATGGGCCTTTTCACTCTGATGTAAATGAAGTTAAATGTGTAAATCCCATCCCATTGGAATGGGTGAAAACCCCATCGCCTTTTATAATCTGTTAGATCTCTGGTTTGCATGAACGGATTTCCATAACATTTTTACTGATCTTACACAGGAGTATAATCAATATGCTCCATCAAGATGAAATGCTCATAAGTAGTTTTTGAGATATAAAAGGATGTCTGCTTGCACAACTTTTTTGGGACACCCCGTACAGTAGTCAGCACCTTCTGTCTGGGGTTATGAAAGACCCATGACCAGGGGAAAGGAGAAGAAAAAACAGAGAAAGATAGAAACGAAAACGGGAAAGTTTCCATGCACAGTGTTTTGAACTGCTTGGCGTTTGACTTGAGTTCCAAATAAACTTAACATAGTTATAAAAAAATACAAGAAAAGTAAGGCAAAATCTATAATACAAACTTTTTTTCTGGGAACCATTCAAAAGCACCGGTCTGGATGCAAGTTGTAACTTAAATATTTGGATTTTTCTTTATAACTTTCGCTTTTTAGTAGTTAATTAACAGTTTTATGTGTTTTTATTCTCTAAATTTCAATTTGTCAATTCACGTATACTTGATTGTTTTTGAATAGCACATTTCAAAAATCATTTCACTTTTAATGTTAAAAAAGTGTAATGAAATACAGACCAAAATAATTGAATTGAATTGGATAAAAAGGAAGGATGGACACCCCCTTTACTAAAGAGAAAAACATGGGAGCATACAAGAGAACACTTTGCTTGCAGAATCTATTTGATGCAGTGGAATCATAAAACAAGTTTTTACTTGCCAATTTACATTTTATGTCATCATGTGTACATTCATTGTCTAATTATTTCTATATATAGTATAAGGTATTATGTTTTTAGAGAAGTTTTACATCAATTTTAATTGACATAAGTACATGTTGTTAGTGATTTGTTTAAGTTTTATATATTTACTCGACTTGTAATTTACTTAGTGTTTTTAATGAGCTGCCCAATCATATGCAATTGCCTTTTTAAGGATAAATAAAGTATTTGAATTGAATTGAAATGAATTGAATTGAATTGAATTCCTCCTCATGAACAGTTTATTTCCCACCAAGTACTACTCTAGAGTCGTGCACATCTACCTCACACATCCGCCCGTTTACCTTCCGACCCCTAACACCATCTGACTTCACAATTAACAACCCTGTGTTATGTGCACCTGAAACTACCAGTCTCCCCACAAAGCGTCCAAATGACGGACACGCAACGGGCCAATCGTCGAGAAAACACCCCGCCACAAAACCGACCGCCTACGGGGCCCAGGACCAATTTTCCCCGGACGACAAACCGAATTTACCGTGGTGTCACCCCGATGATTGCCTCCCTCGACATCTTAACGCCAAAGAACAGCAACTTTTGTTGTCGTTGTTTTGCTACGTGACGGCACCAATTGACTTTCTCTTTTCCCCCGACGGTCAGTCCACTAGTGACGGTGTTAATAACCTTCTTTTATTAACGCCGGTTTATTTTTCTTTCCTTGACACCCCTGATTTGTAACTGTGGGTCTCACTTCGAAAAATAGTTCTGATGAGGACGCGATAGTGTTTTTCTAATGACTAAGCATGGCAGATGAAACTGGGCGGGGGCAATGTCGCGGAATGGGGGAGGCATAAATATTGATCCAGAGGGAAATAGACCCTTTGTTTAGTGCGCCCTCACTAAGGACAGAAACAAAGACCTGCCCTCATATGTGACGTGAGCTGTGAAGAGTATATAACATTGTTTATCACAGTTTTTCTCCTTTTTGTCCATGTAATTAATCGATTGTTACTTGTTTTTCTTTGATAGACCAATGTACTCCTGTTTTAACTCACAAATTTAGTACTTTCCCTGCCATCCAACCATCGCATTGTCGTAAAGTGTTTTCTTCTAAGAAAAGGGACCCCTTCAAACGAACTTGTTGTCGACAATAGGGTAAAACGTGCATGACGTTACACAATTAAGATCAGTGCAAAGCAATGTAAGACTTCCAATCATTGTTTCAAAATCCTTTCTGACAAAAACAAAATTATGATTCAGAAGTTTAAGAAGTTTCAGAACTACGGCTAGAACTAGTGTTGATCCCAATGTTAGTAAGTACAATAGAAACATTTTAAATTCAGCTTTCGTTAAATATGCGATATTGCACACACGGTGTCATATTCATAGCAAAACATGTAAATAAGGATTTTAAAAAAATAAGTTTTCTGTAGTTTTATGGGGAAAAAACCAAAGGAATGACATCCCGCCGGCAAACCATACCCCGATGGACGACGGGTTTATCCCCTAACCCTCAGCGAGTTTAGCTCGGTACCATCACGCCCGGCCGTGACACGGGGCGCCCGGGAAAGTGTGATTGCTCCCGCTGTATATTATAATCGCCGAACAATGGAACAAATTACACTGTATAACAGTATCATATTTGGGGCAGGAAATTGGTCTGTTGTCACTGGACTGGTCTATGGGGTTTTTGTCCGGTGTTGGTGACCCTGCCTTGGGCCTGGGGGAGACCGGTCCAAGGCTCGGACCGTACCGCTGGCAAAGTCGCCAACGATCGGTCCTAATGTCCAGCCATTTCCAAAACATACCACAACTCTCTCTAGCCCAAATTATGCCGTCATAAATATACATGACTTTTGCGGGCCATCAACCAATCAACGCAAAGAGTTTTCCTATTTAAAAGCCAGTGATGACAAAATCGCCCAGAAATGGAATTATGAATCGGTCCTTTGTCATGCTAATTAGTGGGCTGGATGAGAGTATTATTGGCATCAACTTGGGTCCTGCAGTCACCCACGTGATACGGTAGAGTGGGCCCCGCACTGTGGATAAAAAGTCATTGAGCGAGTCATAACAGCCGCAACTTGTTGGATTAAAGCGAGGGCCACAGCGCTACAGTCACTCGCGTGTTTAAGCTCTCCGTGGCGGTAACATTATTTTTCTCTTTGACCGAGACTTGGTGAATTGATAGGCCGTCAGTATGGCCGTTTGTACCGATCGTTCGACCCAGATCTTGACTGCTTCTCACCCCGGACGGGCCATGGATATGGTGAACGTGGCGCAGAGGGCAATGAATGCCAAAGTCACATCGACATCAAGTGAGTTTTTCTTTTCTGTCTTTAAAAAAAATTAAAAATAATCAAATTAAGTCAACTTAAAAGGGGCTACATCATCTTTTTATAACTTAACTTTGGTGTTCAAGCTTTCTTTCGAAACTTCGTGAAAGGAAGAGACACTGTATTTAATTTTTAAAACGAAAAACACGACATTAAATACAATGAATTCACGTGATAAAAATATTTTTCGCTGAATTCACTTAAAGACATGCGAATATTTGTAATTCTGTGGCCACTTACAATGACAATTTTTCGAACAAGTACGAGTACAATTTTTCGTACAGTACCTTCAGTAACTTACTTTATCTTTTAATTTACTGCTTTCTTGCGAAACTGAAGCAACACAATCAATGCAGATACTATTTAGGTACTCGTTTGCCTGTTGCCCCGAAGCGCGTAACACCAGAAGCTGTGCGTAAGACCGGTAGCCACCGCACGCTGCGCGTAAGACCAGTAGCTCACCAGCCATCTGCGCCACCACAGACCCAAGGATTTGCCCGAACACTTTCTTTTAGGAAGTGATTTCATGAGTACTTCTTGCATTGAATACTTGAGCAATTAAGTCTGAATTAGTTCCTATGCTGTTAGTGATATTTTCTAGCGAACCCTATAACCGTCTATTGGTGATTTGCCCATTTTATATCGGATTTTTAAAACCGAATCATGATGGTTTTTATTGAATTCAATTATGATTTCGAGACGAAAATCATCAAAATACATGTAAATGTAGCTATCTGAAATAAGAACACAATTCCCCAAGTTATCAATTACTGTCGGAATCCAATCATAGCATAACATGCATCAATTTAAAGACAAAAATATTAAGGCTTAACTTTTGTAAAAAAATACATTTTTAGGAGTAGGTCCCTACGAACAATTATCCAACTTAAACACTTTCAGAGCTATAATGCTATCTCCACTTATAAGCAAAGACACCTGCAAGCTTCAGATGCAACCGATATGTAGTTCAGATTAAAAGGTCCCGTCCTATTATCTATCGCTATTTAAGAAAAGGAAGAAGAAGTATCTTTTAAAAATCTACGAGAGGAGTTCAAAACTACAATTTTATTAAAAATCACTTCGCACACTCAGTACACATGGTTTTTACACTCAGGTTTTGCGATAATCATTTCGCGAAAATATTTCTGCTGGTAAAGTCAAAATTATATAATTCAGATCAAAACTAATATCCTATAACAAACAAAAAAAGTTATCCATTCTAAAATTATTAATAAATTCAGCCAATCATGATAAGAGAAAGTAATACTAGTTTACCTGTTACCGACTGCCAGAAATATTTGCACAGTAAAATATTTGTATCTATGATATAAACTAGAACCTTTCGAATGTTTTAAATGACCGTAGGCCTACATCTTTTTTTCTAGTTCATACAACTTTAATAGTGAATCGTTACAGCAGATGTACATTAGCAAGAATTTTCCTCAGTTTTCTAGGGCGCGCTATCAAGCAGAAAGTCGTGGGTTCGAATCCCATTCCCGCCCCAGCCAGTGAAATATTCATATTGAATGTTAGAAACACCGAGCATATTTTAAAAATATTCATCGGTATACCGTTACAGACATCTATGTTAAAGTTTCAAATATTGATTTACTTGCTAAATTTTATTCAAACGATCTGACCAGAACTACGTGAATAAGGGACGTATACCCTATATTCATGACACCAAATCAAACGCCATCTTATTACAAAGCTATGTTACCCAATTCTACGTCATAATATCACTACTCCTCCTCCAACCCAAACTGACACCAACAAAAAAACCTCCGTGACACCAAAGACATTCACTGCCGGAGGGGAGGCTAGCCCATCGCATTATCATCCGTCCCCCAGAAAAACCAAATCTCTTTTACCAAAAGGAGTTAATTCACGGATGCTTTAGTTAATTCCAGCCGTCGACAATCCCGACAAAGGGCGACGTGTCAGTCATTAGTCAGGGAATTAGCGGGCAGAGGCTGATCGGGTAAGGGCTTTACACGCCAGCAATGTTGTGACTTAAGTGATCAACGCGTTAATGGGATGCGACACCTGCGAAAAGTCGCTGCAGGGCCGAGTATTTCTGGACGGTGTTCATTCGTCCGGCAAAACGGTTCTTTGCTAATTTCAAACGGACAGGAGCATGTTGCAACTGATCATGTACATGATAACGTTATCTGTCCTAACCGATAATGTAATTTGTTACATTATGGGTTATGACTGATAATGTAACAAATTTGACTGATAGTGTAGTACATTCTTCTACACTATCGGTAAATTTGTGTTACATTATCGGTTAATATTGACTGATTGTTGTGTTGTAACGTTTAGACTATCAGTCAATTTGTGTTACATTATTATCGGCTAGTGATACAGTAACGGTCAACTGTTGTTACATTATCGGTTGGTGATACATTATCCGTTGGTTATTACATCAATTGTAACAGAGCATGAACTCCATGGTTTCGTGAAATGCATTCCACGTTTTGCAAAGTGTACTTAAATCTGATTTTTTTCAAACTTCGGAACCTTCACGAGTGACTATAAAGTTTGGAAACCAGAAAGTGTTTTCGACATCCAGGAGTGTTTCTTTCCAGCTTGAAGACAGTCTTTCACAATATTGCAAGTTTTCTAGAGATCGCATACCTATTTTTGTTTATCTGCACGTGTGCTCTGGCTTCGAAAATTAACTCAAATGGAAACACCTGTGCTTCTGGGAGGGGGAATTCACGTAATTGGCAGAATAGACCACTCGAAAGGAGACCACTTTCAAGACTCAGAAGCCAATCTGTCAGTCATTCCCTCATTGTCCGACTCAATTGTTTAGAAGTGCTCTCAGCTTTGTCAGTCTCTTTTCCAGCCTTTCTAATGGGCAGAACGCCCTGAATGAGCAGTTAACACTCCAAAAAGGCCAATCTGGCCAACTTTCAAGGCGACTTTTTTTGAAGACCAAAATAAGTATGAAATATCATTGACGGATTGTTTACCTTGAAACATTTTCAATTTTGTAACTCAATGGGCGCTTAAAAGATCCACTTTAAGAAAAAGAAGCAAGTTTACCCCAAAAAGCGCCAAAATCTACATGTGCATCTTAAGATTATGAGGTTTTCGCTGTAAAAATACAAGTACGTGATTAGATAAAGCTGGAATGCAATAAACTACAAAAAACTTTGGTGTATTTAGACAGGTATTTTCGAATGGTTGAAAATTGTGAACGCAAGAGTAATTTACAGAGAGAGAATCGGTTCATTTCTTTACAAGTGGTGCGAGAAACACTACAAGGTGCTTCTAAACTTTCAAGGCAGATGCTTTCTGAAAGTTAAAGAGTTGTGTGTTCCTCAGAGAATAGACGGTAGACTTTTATCCCCACAACACGAAGACTATTAAGAAGCGACAAGTCACCAAAGAAAAGAGGAATTCCTGGCCGAAATCGGCTTTCGACTCAGACACTAAACCCGTCATTAATAACACTAAGACGAAGTCAACGCCTGACATATAATAAGGGGTTAGAAAAAAAGAAAGGCAGAAAATCTCTGACTGGGATGCCGGGACGTACACTGAACTCCGGGGGAGAAAAGTCCCTCGAGTGTCCACTGCGATGAACAAAAGATGAGCCGGGATTTCAGACTTGGCTAGCCGGGGCAAAAGGCGCTCAAATCCCTGGCCAGTCGCAGCGGGCGCGACCCGGCCCACCGCGCACGGCTTTTGTGGGGGGAGTTCCTCGTTAAGTGCGCTGAGTTGGCCAGTGAAAGCATTTTGAGCGGTAAATCGCCTTTCTTACCTCAGACCCTTAACACGTCGTTCTGGTCATCATCCGTTAGGTTTATGGTAAGACCGCTAATCCTTTCCATTCTTCGGGATCTGGTTCGTCTCTCTTGTAAGGTGTTTAACTCGCTGCAAAACTTAGAAAGCTAATTATGGCATAAGCCGAAGTTTCAAGGGTAAACTTAGACAAGTCAAAGTAGTGTGTCGTTCCTTTATTATTAGCTTGCGGTTTCTGTGTGTAGGCTATAACGGGAAACATGGTTAAACATAGGCCTAGCCAGGAGAAGATTCACACGCGGTGATTCATGTTTTTGAAGAGAGAAAGTTTGCCCTTTTAAACCATTTTTGTGTTCCATGGTCTCGTCCAGAGGAATATTTTTTTTTCAAAGACCGTCACATGTTTTCCGTTGAAACATGTTTTAAATGTATTTGCGTTTATAGGCTAATTTAAATGTCTTTGAAAAATGTATTCCTCGTCACTTTTTGACAGTGATGACTTCCTTAAAAACTTCATCGACAAATTGTCGAAAGTCAACTGAAAAAAAAACTCCCACAGGACCAACAAGGTTTCTGCCAATCGATGTGCGACGATTCTTTTAATATTTTCATTAATCCCAACAAGAAAGGTGAATAAAGTTTATGAGAAATATGAGACTCATTATGTATCACCTTCATAAGGGTTTACAAGGTGCTGCAGTGCATATTGCAGCCACTGCCAGAAACACCGGGGCAAACCCATTCTCTTAGCGATAAGTGTTACTGGATATTTTTACGTGCATTACACAACACACGGGACCTACGGCTTTACGTCCCATCCGAAGGACGAAGCAATAATGGTAAAGTGCCTTGCTGAAGAGCACAAGCACCATGTTCCCCATCAGGATTCGAACCCATGTACCACGGCACACAAGTCGAACACCGTAACCATAGGACCACAGCAATAAATAGAGTAAACATCAAAGCAAATAAAACACTTAAATTTCTTATCACTCATCACATGGTTATCTCATTGAGTATTCAAAATATGTACACTAAATTATAATCATTTTCAGATCTTTGCCGAGCTCTGGAAATAGACAGTTCTCTATAACCAAACCATTTCAAACCAAGAGCTGTAAATGGTTAAATACGATGAAACTACTGCCTTCAAGGCGCGCATTAAAAAAGAATCTTATCAAAATGTTACTAAATTAAAGACCATGTATTTGATGACAGTTTTAGCTGTTTCATTTGTCAGTATCCGTCAAATACAAACAGACCAATAGTTGCCTTTGTCTGGTTGTTATAATATTGATAAATAAAATCCGACATATCAAACGCCAATATGACAAGTCATGTGCACGATCCGAGGTGATTAAGGAATATCGGTTGAAATTTACTCGTTTCAGAACTGAGAGACCACACATCACAATCATTAATTTCACTGACCGATATAACGAATCCAGGTGTTCTAATAACATCCTTAGAAACCTCAAAATCCCAGTACGACCAAAAAAGCATCAACAATTAGTTTTGCCTCCCTAATAGCCATTCCTGCTTCCCCCTCCCCCTCATCAGTCCACTCGGCCAATTAGCCGCAGTAAATCTTTAAGACCGGGGATGATCATTTTGCTAAGACACTTTGACAGCAATTGAGAGGAACATCTTCCCCGACAAAGACCGGACAATGCCGGGTCCGGAGGGCCTCTCCAACCCGGCTGAGAAACCGTTCGAGTGGGTCTGTCATTTGGCTGTGTTTCGGGACTATTTTATTCCAAGGAGTTTGGAGTGTTGCATTCTTCACCTGAAGGTCGTGCGATAGTGTTAAAGCATGGGGTTGCAGACCAGTAAATAAACTTCCATAGACCCCAATGATAAATGCTCCCACTTCAGAAATTCGGGAAAAATACTCATAACTCCCCAAGGTGTTCGAAATACACATCAAATTAAAGCTTGTTTCATCATCTTTCATTTTCTTTTCAATTTTTTGGGGGTCAACTTTTAGGAGAAATTTCCATCCGAAGATGATCACCCCTGAAAATAGTCCTAAAGCCCATCGCCATTTTGAAAAACGATGCCTACACTCCATTGCAAAATAGAGCGCTTTTAGGGCCCCAATTTCATCCAAATAGAACGGAGCTATAAGCTCACAGTCCTGTGCACTGCTTCCGCCCATATTTTTTTTTTTACAAACCTCAAGTTCATGGCCCACATGTATGCTCAAATACTGAAGATTTTGAGGGCATGCAAATCGTGATTTGACCGACTTACTGGCCTGCATCCATAGGACCCCACAATCGTAATACTGTCGTAAAATGGCGATGGCATGCGGACGACGGAGACAGCAACACAGACAATTGGCAACTGTTGGAAATTATCTGCGACTACTTAATACCAAAGTTGCCGATTTGATGTTGGACTGTCACCCCTATAGAGGTGGTATACCACTCTCGCAGAGATGTTGGAATGTTGCACGCGCGCGTTCTTCAAACAGGTGCACATTGGTGGGTTGCTAACACCCCATTGGTTGAGAGAGCTTTAAGAGCGCGTCCAAGGTGCGCGCACGCTTGGTACCACCTGCATGCAGTATAGACCGCTTGCAGACGCGTTCGATAATCGACGCGCGAAGGCGCGCGACGCCATGTTGTGGGACAGGCGTATATCAATTCACGCACATTTTGTCCCATAACATGGCGTCGCTCACCTTAGCGCGTCAATTATCGAACGCGTCTGCAAGCGGTCTATTGCTTCTGGTACACTTTCATTGAATCGCTCCCTGATTAAATCTTCGGAAAATTCAGACAAGTCGGTTTAATTAAGACGATTAAACTTTGACAATTTGTGATCAAAATATGGACTCAATAAATTACAATGTTGGATATTGCTTTACTGCTTAATGGAAAGTTAGAATCTATGACGAAATTGGGCCCATTCTGAATACACAAAATGCCGTTCAGTCGTCTTCAAAAAGAAGAACTAGTCGCGTCTTCTTAAACTTACGACATCTGTACCGCGCATAGCGATGGTTTGAGGCCGGTCTTAAAGTCTCAGCCTCGGTCCAGGTTTCACATCAAGACCTGGTCCGGAAGGTGACCGTATCGGACTCTCATCTCCGGACAAGGGCACTCGAGTGGTTTCGGCGGGCCGGGAGCAGACTGAGGGTCCTTGGGTGCAGAGAGGGTTGATGACGGGTCCAATTAATGATAAACACCGGGTGTTGTGTGGCTGATGACTTCTGAGTCCCGCAATCAAAAATACAGCAGTTGGTATTCTTTTTGTAGACGGATTTGTTCGATTCCGCGATAATAGTTCAGGAAGGCAAGATAATAAGGCCCTTGTTTCCTGGTCAGGTGACCGAAAAAGTCGACTATTATAGTTCTTACACAAATCGAATTTGTTGCCAAATCGGTCCCAACTGTCACGGTTGAGGAACAAAAAGGTACGTGAACATTCCGATCCAAAAACTTGTCTTCACAATTTGGTGTATTAAATCAGCCATGTTTGGTTTTTTAGTGCAAAATTCTGTGTAAATCTTGGCCCACTATTTGAAATTTGAGAGTTTGAACGACTGGCAATTTTTGATTAGAAAAGGGGAACTATTTCAACTTAACAGTGATTAAAAATAACAACCAGCATTTGTGAAGGGAACCCGCTGATTAACATTCTTGGTCCATTTACATCAACAGTGCCGCTATATGTTGGCCTACTTTCATGTCCCTGTATCCACAATGTACATTTATGTGTACCCTTTTTCCCCTTTTGTCAAACTCCGCCCCCTGGGACGTATTATGAAATAATAATCATACCGATTTAATAAGTGGATTTGGTGAATTGCCGTGCGAGGTACGAGCCAAGGACCACTTGACTGGAGTTCGCTCGAGATGCAGGGGACAAAACAACCTTCCAATTTTGTTTTGTGATTCTGTGGGAAAGTTGAGAGAAATTCGCGAGGAATACCGGACATTCGCAGACATTAAATCACCGTTCTTTGTTTCCACTCTACGGTATTCTGGTCACTCCTCGAGGACGAGAAGCTATTTTATGACAGTAAAGTTGACAACAGTGAATATCTATAAACCCACGACGTCCCGTCACTCACAATCCACCATCTCTTTCTCCTTACCGATTCCTCAGGTCGCATCTTAGACATCCCGTGCAAGGTTTGCGGTGACCGTAGCTCGGGCAAGCACTACGGGGTCTACGCCTGCGACGGCTGCAGTGGGTTCTTCAAGCGAAGCATACGGAGGAACCGCACCTACGCCTGCAAGAACCGCAGCGGCGGACCCTGCCCGATCGACAAGACTCATCGCAACCAGTGTCGGGCGTGTCGACTCAAGAAGTGTATCGAGGTCGACATGAACAAGGATGGTAAGGAATAAACCCTTCTGTATCATTTCACAGTGAAAAGAAACAGGGGCGGCGGAACCCGGGGGGGGGAGGGCACTAACTCCCCCCCCCCCAGATTTTCCCAGGCCAACAAAAGTGTTCGAATAAAATGGTCACTGAACTGGCCATCAAAAGCAACAGTGTCCCTCTCACGATAAAAAATGGTCTCTCTCTACATATAACATAGCACTAGGTAAAAGAATCACAAAGAGCAAGATGGACAACGTGTTTGTTCCTGATCATGATGTAGGTTTATAGCGAAATGAACGGGACCATATTCTTTTCCTCCACTTTCACACCGACGGAAGGTGCCACTTTTTCTGAGCAAGTGCCTTTTTTTGTGTCCCCCCCCCTGTTCCGCCGTCCCTGAATAGAAAGAAAATCTGAGCTTGTTCAATAGTGATAGGCTCCCTATGGACAGAAATTGATTGAAGAAAAGTGCATTGCTTATGGACAAAGGTATCGTGATCTTAAGATTCAGTACCAATATTTTGGGAGACTGTGCCGTGACGTCGACATGGAAAGCGCGCAAGTTGATCTAAAACCAGTCAGAATTTGCAAAAATACGAAACTTCCAAGCACCTTAGGAACTCTAACTTGTACCATAGAGCTAGGACCCATGCTTGTACCGTGTCCAGTTGTTTAACTTTAACTGAGCTTAAGTGGTGGTTACCTCCAATGCACTGTTTACAAATGGTGTAATGATCTACATAATCAAAGCATCTGACTAAAATTGTCAGATAAAACACATGTCAAAATACACCAGATTTACTTCGCGAATCAATACCGACATTAAGAAAAAAAGAAATGTAAACACTCAAGATCTTTGCTGTTTACTTTTCCCAGGTCCAGAAAAATAATAGTGGACAAAAAATTCCCCCGCAAAGCGCAAAAATCTGCTGCCATCTTTTGTGGGCTGAGTCTCCAGGCACCGTGTTTAAGACCGATCGGGGCTATAGTGCGCGCAGGGCCAGGCGGCCCAGCTGCGTAAACAGCCCGGGTGTAGCACCCGGGACAATACCTTCACCCGTCCCGCCAAAGGCGACCAGCGGCTCGCACTAGCCTCACAGACCGGGGCCGGAGGAGCTTCGGATCGGCATACCTTAACAACTGACTTCTGCTGGTTTCCCATAAGAAATTCAGTTTTTTTTTTATTCAGGCAGGACCAGTAATTGTTATTTTCAAAATCAGAAATACATTTTTTCAAGACATACTGCACAATTATAGGCTGTGCAGTTTTTCTCTTTGAATTAATAATGATCGAACAACAATAGTGTGCATAATTGGTCACCGAAACATGCATCACAAAGTGGCCTTATAAAACGGTTCATAACCAACAATGCATAGGAACATGCAAACATTCGTTGCGTTAGTTAATATTAAGTACAGGGTGAGTAGGAAAAAAAGAAAACCCAAATGGTGCCCCCTATTTTATTTATTTTTTAAAAGAAGTTCTAAATGTAGCGCTTTCCAGATCTAGGATATGAAAGCCCTATTAATAAGCTTTCTTTTAGTAAAAAAATCATTCAAATCGTTTATGTACTTTTCCAGTCATGACATTTTGAACACAAACGCCGTTTTTAAAGCTTGTCCACGGATCACAATAAAAGTTATTGATATTTCAGCAAAACGAAAATTATTCTCTTATCAAAAAACACATCAGAACGCTCTCATAACCATGATAACTGGCACTTATCATATCATTTATTTCAAAACCTGCTGCTTCCAATGTTAAAATAACATGCTTTATAATGGCAAGAGTTTATAGTCTTGCCCGGCCTTCTACTTGGCTACCCCGGAGACTTATGGGATTATTCTGATATCATTTTCAGGACACGACAAGGTTTCATTTTTACTTAAATATCACGTACCTGACTGTGATTCGTGGACAAGCTTAAAAAACGATGTTTGTCTTTAAAATTCCATAACTGGAAAAGTACATGAGTGATTTGAATGTTTCTTTCACTAAGAGAGCTCATTATTGAGCTTTCATATCCTAGATCTGGAAAGCGCTACATGCAGAAATCCTTCAAAAAATAGGTGGCACCATTTTGGTTTCCTTCTTTTACTCACCCTGTACACTCCATGTTCAGTTTGTCTGGGTCCTCCAAATCGTGATTCAGATTGTGGCCCTCGTCAAATAGGCAAAACTTCATCTTTGACAAATATACTTCCACTTTTTTTCCCAGCCGTGCAGCATGAGAGGGGCCCTCGTAACTCCACCATCCGCAAACAAATGGCGCTTTACCTGAAGGAATCGGCAGCGGCCGCCACCGATGTAGCCAGCCCGTTAGTTGCCGCTTATCCTCCCCATGCCACTACCGTGATTAGTCCGCTCGGCGGTACGGAGACCTACGGGCCGCTGATAGTCAGTACGTCGGAGTACGCGCTGTCCGCCGGGCCGTTCCCTTGCTACCCTACACCAAAGGTATAAGCAAAGTCTTAAATAAACGATTTTTTTTTTAAACTTAAAGCTTAATAAATACTATTGTAAATATCTAAATTATTGATTGTTCCACCTGTTCGTTAGGTGCAAGTTAACATAGAAAGTTCACTCATTTCACAAAGAGGAGTGACAATTATTTATGAGTTTTTTTTTATTTAATGAGTATTTTTTAAAGTCTAACTTAAAAATTTTAATAAATAAAAATTAAAATAAATGGAAGTTGTAAATGAAACAAATTATTATATTTATAATAGTCAAATCCTAAAATTAAACATACAAGCGTTGAATAAAGTTCACTACAATTGGACCGTATTTTCTTCTGATTTTTAGCACTACCCACGAGACTACATTCGCACGATCCACAGTAGTGTGGAAACGGTGTGCGAGACGGCGGCCAGACTACTCTTCATGAGCGTCAAATGGGCCAAGAACGTACCAGCCTTTGTTTCACTACCACTGCGAGATCAGGTGAGAACGAAAACAATTATTTATTATCCCCACACTAATAATCGATAAAATTGGTATCGATAAAATTGAAATAGATCGTTTTAATCGATTAAATTTAACCGATAACAGCCGATCATTACTCTTACCCGGGACTACGGGGGACATAAACAATCCCGAAATGTATATTCAGAGTCGGACATTATTTCCATTCCTGAAAAAAAAATTCATCAGACTATGAACAACACCAAGCAATTCCAACCAATGAAAAAAATCCTAATACTTACAAAAACAGTCCGTGTCTCATATTAAAAACAAGCCAAGCCTACCAAGGACATGGTCGTCACCTTCAATTCGCAACCTGCCGAGCGAAACATTGTCGTTTGCAGTTGTACATCACGTGGAGTTATCACAAGTTACTGTCCAATTAAGAAAAAAATCACTGCGAACGATTCCATGGGCCCTCGGGCTATTTTCACAAAAGACTCAATGTCTTCGTATCTCATAATCATAATCACTTTCAAGCTTTGTAATAGACCTAATTATACACACGTTGCGCAGACAATACCCACACGTGACGTAGGTGCGGGTTTAATTAACTGTGAGATACAGTTACTGGTGGGAGATCCCATACAAACTAATCCCACGGAAAACATCATGAAGATGATTTCACAGGAGGATTACTGAAGATGTACAGTGTCTTATCCAAGATGACCAACAAGTCCATCATTCGAAACTTAGCAGCTTTAAAAACCTTTCAGCACTAACAACGTCTTAAATATACCTAGTTTGTTTTTGAAGTTGAACAAAGAAATTGACTGGAGCGGGGTTTGAACCTGCAACCACCAGATTGCTGTTCTGGTGCTCTACCAACTGAGCTATCCACCCCTATGTTGACGGTTCCCCAATTTGTTAACATTAGCAATGCTGCAACATTAGCAATGTTGCAAACCCAGGAAGTAAACATGCAGGGATCACTCAAAGAGGATACGGATTTGGTTCACTTTTTGGTAATTGCTCACCAAACTACAAACGTTACCTGTCATGTAATTGCAATAGTTTACAACTGTTTAAAATGAAAATTCACACGAATGTCTGATGTTTGAAAGTCAAACAGGTGACGACAGCAAAATTACTGTTATTCCCTCAAAGGTTTCACATTTAATTCGTCTTTTTAATGTATTTGGTTGTTGAAAGAATTTGGAAGCAAAACATATTGAATTAACAAGTTTTGTTCGTTTTTTTTTCTTCAGTTGCTTCTTTTAGAGGAAGGCTGGAGGGAATTATTCATACTGGGTGCGGCTCAGTGGCATATGACATTAGATGCTACAGCTCTCCTAAATGCTACCGGTAAGTACTGACTATCTCTAGATCACCTCAATTCTTTTTTCTTTTTATTTAAAGACAAAAGTAGGAAAGACTCAATATCTTGAAATTAAAACTCTCAAAATTCAAAATTGATTTTTTTGTTGTGAATCTAGTACTGTTGTGTAGGTCCCCCCATCTTCACTTCTGTTCGAAATTTGGAGGCAACTTAAATTAACTAATGCCCCACAATGTTGACACCTAATCTTAATTAACTATGTCAGAACTTCCCCGTAAGAAATGTCGTCAAATATTTCAAATAGTTACCGTCCTGAATTGACATTGGTAATTGAACTGTCACGATTTTTTTTATTGTGTAGGTATGCAACCTGAGAACACGCCAGCAGAGAAATTGGCTGCGATATCCAGCGAATTGAGAGTGTTGGAAGAAATCATTGTCAAGTTGAGACAGCTGGAGGTGGATGCGACCGAGTACGCATGTCTGAAGGGCATCGTCGTCTTCAAGACAGGTGAGTGGTCCACTGTCATGCACATGAATATTCAAAAATATTTGCATTAATGCTTTCCAATCTTTTACTGATTGGTTGGCAGTAGAACAATGGCAGTATTTTGTCATCTGCATTTTGCATATCAGGCAACGGGGCAAGCAGTTTCACTGATGTTCCATAATAATCAGTTTTGTTTTAAAACTGATGACAAACAGGTCACAAATAGCAAATATTTTGATATTTTAGATATTCTTGAAAAGAGCAACAACTTTTGTTTCACGTTTCTCTACTTTCGGAACCTATATGGCTCATTATTGCTTAAAATAAATGGCGCCCTCAACAAGCACACATGGATGAAATATGCGACGCCCCTCTCAGGTTGCAGACCAGTAAATAAATTGCCATAGACCCCAATGATAAATGCCCCCACTTCAGAAATTCAAGAAAAATACTCACAACTCTCTGAGGTGATCACGACGTACATCAAATTAAAGCTTATTTCATCATCTTTCATTTTCTGTTCAGTTTTCTGGGGTTAACTAATGACTTTTGGGAGAAACTTCCATCCAAACGTGATCACCCCAAAAAGCAGTCCTGAAGCCCATCGCCATTTTGAAAATTGACGCCTACGCTCCATTGCAAAATAGAGCCATTTTAGGGCCTAATTTCAGCCACATTTCACAGAAATACTAGCTCGCAGTCCTCTGCACGGCTTCCAATCTTCTTTTTTTTTTTACAAATCATCTAGTTCACGGCCTTCAAAATGCTCTAATACTGAAGTATTTCAATTTGCAAATCGTGAGCGCTGTCGATCTACTCGTATCGCCGGGTAGAAAATAAACATGTCTAAAATTGTACTAACTACTGTACAATAGGTAGGCCCTATTAAAATATAATAACTACATTTAGAATATTATATTAGAAAGAATACTATTTTATGATTTTCATTCTCAGATATTTCTGGTGTAGAGGAGACTGCCTCAGTGGCCAGCCTCCAGGACCAATCACAACTGACGCTCAGCAAGTACATCACGATACGCCATCCGGCCCAACCCTTCCGCTTCGGCAAGCTGCTGCTACTGCTGCCGACCCTACGCGCCGTGCGGCCCAGCACGCTAGAGACACTGTTCTTCCGTCAGACCATCGGTACCATGCCCATGAACAGACTGCTCTGTGATCTCTACAAAGCTCACGAATTCTAGAACCCTAAAATGTTTTCTGAAGCCAAATTTAGTGCCTTGATCTGTTATCATTCCAAAGATTATGTAGATTAAAGTGTTTCTTAAAAGAATTACCAAAAATGATTGGATATCTAATCACAAAAACTGTCGTATCATTTTGACCATATTAAAGCACAATTCTGGGTCAACAATTATTTACCTATAAATATTTGTTTCCAGACAAACGTTTGTGTTCAAATTTCACTTTAACAAGTCTGATTATAATAATGGTAGCATTTCGATACCACAATCCGACTAAAAGGTAATTATACGCGGTATCAAACGCGGAAAGAATGTTGCAACCTGACGCCGATTTTTTTTTCTTCATATATCATCTCAGTGAAAGTCAGTCATTGCAAAAATAATAAGACATGAATCTGGGACTGAGAAACATTTGCAATTGAACACAACCGCTGAAGTGGCGTCAGGTTACAACATTCTTTCCTCAAACTCACATTAATTGTTCATGTCCTAACTGGTTTCACAAAGTTTTGTCTGCCTTAAGTCTGTCACACGCCAACAGAGGGCGTTCATCCTTATGTTCAACAAAAGTAATGACTGATAATAATCACTAAAACATGACGATCTTTTATAATCCCAATTTTTCTAATTATGTGGAATAAAAAAGTTCAACCTCTTTTTTTTTAGTTGCTTTGCAAATTTGCGTAGAAATTTTACCTTGGAGTTGTGTTTAAGAAAGATGAAAAATGCAGATGCTAGCCTAAACAAAAAGTAAAAAATAATCAGACTTTTATTGCACTTGTAGAGACATCTAACTTGCACAGAATTCAGCGCAGGAGAGGCTTTGTAAAAACGAAAAGTGTACATTTTATAATTGATAGTGTAAATACTGATTTTTGTAACTGATTTTTAGTTTCACTTTTGTAAGACGAAAAACAAAATTCAGGGCACAGATGTTATTACAAAGAGAAAAATGAAATAGAATTTTGACAGTGCCTTAAGTAGGACAAGGACAGATTTATGAATAAAGATTTTTTTGTGCCAATTTGGAAAGAGAATTTTTGTTCTTGTGGTTTCATGTTTCATTATGTGGTAGACAAGACACTAAAGAAATGGGGATGATAGCAATTTAGTATGGAAACCCCGACAAATTTTACAAGACACAAAACATCCGAAATTCAGTTATTTTATTGCAATAAATAAAAGTGTTATTGTTTAAAATACTTTGCTTGCTCACACAACTTTAAAATTGTATTCATCTTCTGGCTCCCGCAAAAAATAATAATATAAGATTACATTTAAAAGACGGCACAAACACAAATAAGTAAAACACTTTTTGAAAACTTTAGCTAATAGATGTATTACATGAGGATGAAATTCAAATTGCATATATCGCCATGTTAACTCCTATCCTTAAACGTAGCACTGCGAAAAATATACGGGTTACTGGCTCAGGTCGATTGAATGCAGCTAAAATGCACTAAAATGTGATTTTTTTTAAAGGAAAATACTCGCTCAGCAAAAACGTATCAAGTAAAATTTCACTCCGTGTGCATCAACATCATCACCAGTACCCCCTCAACGAGACCACTGGGATGGGACGGACGTTCGAAAGCATAGCTTAAGTAAAACCCGTTTGAGCACTTTCAGAACAAAATTAGTCCTGTATACTTCCCGCCGTACGCGCACGCGCAGGGTGTCCCTAAAGTGCCCTCTGTTGTTCATGAGCGGAGCCCAAGTTGTGACGGGCTTTAGCTGTTTATACAGAGCACATCAATTTGTTTAGCACTATTTTTCTATTTGAAAGTTCCAATAAAATTGGACCCAGGGTTTAAGGATTGGGTGAAAATGAAAAATCCATGAAATAATCGGCAGAGGGTTTTAGGGTCATCGAGGGCCACAGAGCAAGAGGGTCTATGCGGTGTTGTATTGCAGTCCCTGCAAGACAATTGCAAGTCCATCACAAGTCCATCCAATGATACCATGTTTGATTGTGGCGTAGAGCCACAAACTATGGAGCACCTTTTGAGATGCCCTCTTCTACAACACCCTTGCACAGCTGCCGACCTTGCATTGTACAATGAAGATGCAGAGAAATGTGTTCGGCGTTGACTGAACCAAATTTAGCTTTGTGACGTGGACTCGATAAGAAGACAAGTCCATCACAAGTCCATCCCAAGTCCTTCCGTCTCAAGTCAAGTCACAAGCTATTCAAATGAACTCTTTTAAAAGCATTGCTTTGTCATTGTTCATCCAGTTACTTGTGACTTAACTAATGTGAAAGGACTTGTGATAGACTTGAAAATAAGACTGGGTCTATGGTACATGTTTAAATTTGCCTATTAAGGCACCCCTTAACATACTCACTTATTTTGTTCTATAAAAACCTTTATAGGTACAGAGACCTCAGTGTCGGATCTACGATGGGGAGGGGGGGGGGGGGGGGTTATGGGTCTAAAGTTAACCCCCTCTTGGGTTGCCAACAACTGCAAAAATCATGCAGAAAACCACAGCAAATGCCTGTTAGACCCCCCCCCCCCCCTTCTTGGCAGCTAAATCCCCTCTTGATCCAAACCTGGCTCCACCCCTGGACATTTTTGATAAAATCTCACTAATTCCAGACTTAAATAGGACATTTCTTAAAAATCCTGAAATCAAGAGAAAAAATCCAGACAAATCTCAACCCGGGTATACCAATATGGCACAATAAAAGCTTCATAAAAAGGAAGGGATTTCTCAATAATGGCATCTAATTTGAGCGTTTTTTTGGGGGTAAGTTGTCATCATAAGTCTTCAGGTTTCATCTCTGCAGTCTTTCTCGTCTCCCTGGTGCTGGTCCAGTATTCCTCCGTCTGCATCTCGGTCAATCTTGAGACGGTCCTCTCGAAGGCAAACAGCTCCTCCTCACCGGTGAAGATGCTGGCTGATCCGCTGCTTGCATCCTGTCATATAAATTAATTTGGGTGCGACAGGTCAATATGGAGGGCGCCCTCTTGCAGCCCAAAAAAGCCAGATATGTTTTGGAATGACTGGAAATGTGGAGGGCGCCCTCATGTGGTGTAATTTTTTTTTTAATCTAAAGGGCCCTGCAATGTTATTTTTTTAACGCAATCCTTGAAAATTCACCTTTGTGTCCCTTTTAACCATATTTCTAATTTTTGTTTTACCATTTTCAATGGTATTTTGGAGCCTTTTTTATTTTTATGCAAATGTGTGATGTCATTTCAGGCAGAAACCTCAATGTTACAGCTATTTCAGCACCAAAAGTTACCAGAATTTTGGATATTTTGCTGTCGTAAATTGTCTTTTCTTTGGTGATTCATTGTTGTGTCAGAACGTGGCAGTAAGCCAATGAGCAAACCTTTCTCACAAGTTCTCACAAATGAACACACATGTTTGGGTTCACAATTTGAACAGAATTCCCCCTAAACTAACTAGTGTGTTCCTGAAATGAAATAAGTTATTGAGGTCAACTTACACGCTTTATTGTGAAGGAGTTTGGAGAAAATAAAGAGCGCCCTCTTGTAAATGCTTTTAAAAGTTAAATAATCGTAGACATTTTCAAAGGTGTTTGACCATTGCCTGATTGATTCATGCACTGTGAAAGTACTGTGTACTTAGTGCTCTCCAAGAACTTGTTAAGAAAAACAAGCGCCAAGCTTACTCAGGTGGGACTCGAACCCACTACCTGCGTTCTAGTGCAGAGATCTGACCCACTTGACCACCGACTTTAATTGGGTCAGCTGTCTGGTCAATTCTGATATATCAATGTGGATACTTCAATCAGTTTACAGATTGACTTACCAGTTTAATATTGAGGTCATCCATGAGCATCCTGCGGTCATCCAGGTCACGTTGGCTCAGAGCAGTGGTAGCAAACAGGTCCTCTGGCTCCGTCTCTGCAGAACACACTAACCTCACCTTAGAGGGGAAAAAAGGATTGAAGAATACTTCTAAATTAGAATGAACCCTCCTGATGCCAAGGAAATCCGTATGAAGTGTCCTGCTGATTGAAAGTGACCAATATGGTCAATGAGGGAATCACACTGAGTGGTTCAATGTGGTGTGCTAATTCAAGGAATAATCATCAGAAATAATGAACTGAGGTTGCATCTTCAATATATTTGAAGAGTTAATACCTTGATGAAGATGTTGAACTCACATGCGAAATACATTTAAAAAATACCTGGATTTTTAGCTAATTTTTACCTAATGTATCAATACACTAGGCCACACTTTAAGCAAAAGCAGTCAATTTTTGATCAACGAGAAAACTTAGGCTATCTGAAGATGGTCAGAAATAGACACAATCAAGCACAAAAACCTCAAAAAATTACCTTATTGTCGTAGAAGTTATCGATGAGCGTGATGAAGCGACGGGCGGCTGATTTGATCCTGAGTGACATCTGGGGTATATCTCGTATGAAGATGGTGTCAAACTCTCTGCCTAGTGCAAGGTAGTCACCTGCGCCTAATGGCTGCACATAGCAAAAGGAAGAGAGACAGTTTTAATGCAGCTTATGTCAGGGGGTTCATACAAATCACAAGTTTGTCACAAGTCTAATTATTAGTCAATCACAAGGAAATCATGAGTTGGCAACAACTCACATCAAATCAAATCACAAGACAGAACAAAAAGGAATTCTCAAGTTGGTCACAAGTCAGATCATACTGCAGAACGTAAAGGAAATCACAAGTTAGTCGTAAGTCACAAGTCAAATCACAAGTCAAATCAAAATGCAGAACATAAAGCAAATTACAAGTTAGTCATAGGTCACAAGTCCAGTCACAACACAGGACAAAAAGAAAATCACAAGTTAGTCATAGGTCACAAGTCATGTCACAAGTCCAATCACAATGCAGGACATAAGGTAATCACAAGTTAGTCATAAGTCATAAGTCCAATCACAACGCAGGACATAAGGTAATCACAAGTTAGTCATAAGTCATAAGTCAAATCACAACGCAGCACATAAGGTAATCACAAGTTAGTCGTAATTCACAAGTCAAGTCACAAGTCACATCACAATGCAGGCCAAACAAGAAATCACAAGTTAGTCACAAGTCAAGTCACAAGTCGACTCACAAGTCAGTCATAAGTCACAAGTCACGTCACAATTCATATCACAAGTAGGACAAACAAGAAATCACAAGTCAGTCATAAGTCACAAGTCAAGTCACAAGTCGACTCACAAGTCAGTCATAAGTCACAAGTCAAGTCACAAGTCATATCACAAGCAGGACACAAGGGAAAGACATAAGGGAAATCACATTGAATCACAAGTCAAATCACAGATTGGGTCACAAGAAACAAGGGACCACCAATAATAATGGGATGCCTTTTCATTTGAATTAAAAATAGCTTGCAACTTGACTTGTGACTAAATGACTTGTGTTGACAATACGAGTCTGGCTTGTGCATGGACCAGTTACATTCAGCATCCATCCTGGTGGTGAATTTTGTGTCATTTTGATTCAGTAACAATTGCTGCAAATTCTATTGATACTGTGGATGAGCAAAAGAGGGCGCTATGTAGCCTAACCAGGAGACTTACCCTGTCACAGAGATCAGTGAATGTGAAGACTGCAATCCTGCCACAGGCTACTGGTACTTTCAACTCCCGGCCCAGCAAGTGAATCGTCCTACTCTGTATCACTAACATCAAAATGAAGAATTGTTAAACATGTTGAAGGAATTTCATCTAGTTAGCTCAGTGGGCAAAGTGGTTTTCTAATAGCAAAAACAGCAGCACATTTTACCGTCATTGACATGAGTGCGTGTTTGATGTGAATATCAGAAATGGCACAAAAAGGTGATTGAGAGTTAGGATTCCTGAAATGTGATCAGAGGGTGGTTTGAATCTAACTGCTAGCCGCATGTGTCCATAGCAGTGTTGTAGTACTCGTACTCGGTACTCGTACTCGAGTACTACTTGAGTACTTTGTTTACAGTACTCGTACTCGTACTCGAATGTCAAAGTACTCGTACTTGAAATGACGGTACTCGTACTCGGGCAGCAAAGTACTCGTACTCCACTTGTCGAAATTGTACTCGATCATCAAAATACGTGTACTCGAACAGCAGTACTCGAAAAAATTGGTATAGCTTGACTTACCTCGACCTTATTTTATTATCGATACTTTCAGTTTGAAATGGTTGATTAGCTTGCAGAGAAATCAAAGTTACCTGATTTTTCTCTGTGCACGTCCGGACAAACACATTTAATAGCTAGCCGTGAGTGGGTCTGTATTTCTGTCTGACTGGGCCTGGGCCAATTACGCACAATGAACCATTTGCTGTATGGCCGTATTCGGAAATACAAGAACTCGTACTCGTACTCAGAAGTACAAGTACTCGTACTCGGTAACCTAAATACTCGGCAGTACTCGGCAGTACTCGGCAGTACTCGGTACTAGGGAAAAAGTACTTGACTACAACACTGGTCCATAGGCAAGCTTCTTTACCCCAACCTGCCATTCACCACCAAGAAATACCCATCCAGGGTTGCAACATTAGCTAGGGATTAACCTGTGGTGTGCATGCATCCCATCCAGGAGAACAGAAGCATGTTCTGCAAGGGAATCAATGGTTGACCTACCTGCATCTTCTTGCCTGGCCAAACTCTGGAATATTCTGTCCAATTCCGCGTTAGCATTGCACCTGCTGTGCACAAAGAACACCTGGCCCCTCTCAGAGGCATCTGTTTAGATAACAAACAAATAAACCAGAAAAAAATGTTACAAAAGACTAGATTCTGTTCCTGAAACTAAAGATGTATGCTGTATGTATGCAACTAAAATCTTGTACCTTCAAAAAATATATTTCATAATGTTCAAAAAGCAAATTGCCAAAAGTAGAAATATGAATTATTTTTAAAAGTGAACATTCTATACATGCTTTCATATAGTTCAAGAAAACTATGGAGCCATACATCAGCAAAAACCCAAACAACCAAACAAACAAAAACACTCCAGTAAACTTACCTAATTTTCGATAATCTATCCCTGAGTCTAGTTGCAGCACATTACAGTGATTCTAAAAACAGGCCAAAAAAAAAAAAAAAAAAAAATAGATCATATAATTCAAAAGTACGTCAAATGAATCGGTAGAATTTCAAAGCTTGATCAAAAGTAACATTCCCACTTGGGAAATGTTACCTTAAAGGTATAGTCCATCATTTGCAGCCATCCGAAAAGTAACTGGCGTAATTATTGTTGAAAAACAAACTTGGTTGAAAGATAGTAAGTGGACTAAACTCCCTGTGAAATTATTCTTTCTGGGAAGCTGTCATTTTGAAGTAATCAACGAAAGAAGGCATTTCCAACGGTGATTCTTAAGAAGTAGGAAAATTTAAATTAGTAGTTCGTTTTGTTATTCAGCGCAGCGCGCACAAGTATTGGAACGACGCACACGCGCGCGGGGTTGTTATAATTCGTCGGATCAGTGCGCGACGTCGCGTATAGCTGCAATTCAAAACAATTCAAAACATGATTCAGTAACTTTGGATTTGAAAATTGAGATCTTAGAATGCTGCTTTTCTCGGAATGTACAGCTGAAGCTTAGCTGAAACTTCATCAGGTTAGTTGCTCAGTATCCTTCATTAGATTTTGAACTCTTTTGTTGCTTCAAACGAACAAAATGCACAAATTACAAATGATGGACTGTAGCTTTAAAGGGCATGTAATATAATTGTTTAATGCGATCCTTGAAAAGGCACCTCTGTGTCCCACTTAATTTGTTAATTTCAACTTTCATTTTGCCATTATCAAGGGTATTTTTGTACTTTTGGTTTTTATACTAATGAAAAATTCCATATTCATGAGCAAAAGTGTGATGTCATTTTAGGCAGAAACCTGACAATTACATCTATTTTAGCACAAAAAGTTGACAACATTTTTGATATTTTGCTGTTTTAAATACTGTATTTGTTTCTTGGTGATTCTTTGTTGTTTCAATATATCAGTCAGTTTATGAGCAAAACTTTTCTCACAAATGTTTTCAATGAGCAAATTTTTGGGTTCACAATTTGAACAGAAAACCCATAAACTGAAGAGTGTGTTCCTAAAATGATGTCACAGCAACAGCGCCCTCAGTTGTCACGAAAAGCAAAACAAATTCACTAAAAAGCATGGTGACCGTTTCAGCAGATTTTCGGCTAACTGTGACAGATTTTTTGTTAAAAAACGAGTTTGACAGAAAACTTGACAGAATGGATTTTTTTGGCAGATTTCTGACAGAATTGTGCAAAAATGCTTACTTGACAGAAAAACACAGCAAATTTGAAAATATAGTACACTTGTAATTTTGTTTAAACAAATCTTCAATCTTTTCAAACAAAGCCTTGTATAATGGGACAGGTTGGCTGGTCTAGGTGCAGAGGTTCACTGGGAACCGGACTTCGTCGTGACGCAAACTGCGTTTTGTTTTAAATTTAAGCAATTATCTGTATGTGACCATAGATTGTTTATAATGTAATTTGAGCCTTAATTAAGGCAATATTTCAACATCTGCATGTGATGTTTAAGTGTTTATAGTGTATTTCGAGTAATTCTTGATTTTTGATAAATCCGACAGATTTTTGAAGTCCATTTAGCAGAAATTGGCTATGACCTTACGGTCACCCTGCCAAAAAGGGATGTCAGATAGTTTTCATACATTTAAGAGGAAAAGAAAGCTGCACAAAATAGGTTCCAAGCACAATTTATGTCATGGTCCCTTTAAATAATTTGGTCAAATACTCCATGTGAAAATCCCAGCTTGGGTCAGATTACCTTTAATACTTGAATGAATGGCACAAAGTTGCTACGCTGCAGTCCGTTCTTATACAGGTCATCCGGCCGTCGGTTGGAGGTCGCTACCACTACAACACCATTTTGGAAGAGCTCCGTGAAGAGTCTCTTGACTATCATGGCATCTGCTATATCGGTTACCTGCAGTGTGGGAGAGAGGGCAGGATTCTTTGACACACCGTAGGCCTCAAGAAAAAAGTGAATTGTTTCTCATTTTTTGGGTGCACTTCCTTCAGAAAAATATCTGATGCTTTATTCATTTATCAAATTTTAAAATAGGAGGTAAGAGGCTGAATGTAACAAGCCTTTTTTTAACTTTTGGCCTGGAATTGCAGTTGCAGTTTGATGAGACCAAGACAATGGGATTGATAACATGTTTATTGACCCTAACCTTCCCAAATCCTCCAAAATCCTCTTTGCAAAATGGAGGATTTTGCAGGATTAAGATTAAGCCTACGTTATACTTGAAATCCTCCGCACTGCTCCAGGATGTCACTGACTCTGCCTCAACATATTGACTGTGATTGCTGGAGGATTTTGCAGGATTGAGGCAGTGGGCACCCCTCCAAGGACCGCATTCAAGAAATAACAGAGGATTTTGCAGGATTGAGGCTGTATGCAATTTTTACATGGAGGCAATTGGAGCAAAAATGCCAAGGGAGTTAGGGTTAAAGATGCATACCCTGTGGTCTTCAATGATAGATTTTATTCTTCAAATTAAAAAGTTTCTTCGTGCCGATTTTGGGTGTCTGTAGCCCTCTCAAAGGGCTTTCATTTTTCGCACAAATGAACCTGCCCTGCGAGAGCCGAATAATTGTCTGGCAGCCAATAATTCAAATTTTGTGAAAAAATAATTCAGTAACTAAACGTCGTTGGATTTTTTGTTTGATGTCGCATTCAAAACTGAATAACTTTGATGTTGTTAGGAAAACAGCCATTGAAAAAAAAACAACTCCATTTTTCGAGGAGAAACTCGAAATTGGTACGGGGAACACATCTTTTCAAGAATGCTAGAATTTAGAACAAACTGTTAGAACTTTGAGACATTTTGTGTTTTATTTCAAGTATGCAGTGATTGCCAAAATTAACCAATTCCAAAAACCGCCCAGCCTGTTACTCCCTGTAACCTCCCGAAACTGCCGGAGCACTCTGTGATTTTATAGATTCTTAAGAGAATAAACACAATGTAGTACAATGTAATACAATGTAGTACAATGTAATACAATGTAGTACAATGTAATACAATGCAGTACAATGTACAGTTACCAATGGGTTTTATTACCTGGAACTCATCAAAGCATATCAGCCATGTTTCCCGGCTAATGTCCTTAGCGACAGGTGCGATGGGGTCAAAAGGTCGCGGTTTAGTACTGGTGTGATCCCGAGGGATTTGCTTCTTTACTTCGTGAATTCCTGCAGGTGATAAAATCACATGGAAATCACACAAGGCGCCAATTATCTTGTGCAATACCAAATAGATGCAAATAAAGAAAAGGCCTCATAAAGTCACAGTCAAGGTACAACAGCATGTCCCCCAAAAAGTGTCTAACTATTTTTGAAATAACGACAAAAGCAGGTTGTGAAAAAAGGCTGATGTGGTTTGGGATTTGACTTATTTGCCCTTGAGCATTAAAGGGAGTATACATGATTGGCTTTTGCTGTAATTTTCAGAAATGAACTATTTGAGGGGTTAGTATAATAGATCAAATATTGTTAAACTGACATGTTTGAAGGTTTGTGTTCGAAAATGCTGGAAAAAAAACAAGAAAAACAAAACTGTTCAAGTAGTCTGGTTCCCTGACTCCACTAAATATAAAATGGATCAATTTACAGATGCCGGAAACTTGTAAGGTAATGGAACCAGTCTAGCCGGCCTGCACCCGTTCATGAACATGTAACCAATAGAAAACAAAATTTGGACTGAAAGAAAAATGGTTAATTTGTAGCAGTAGTTGAAAAATAGTTAGGTTTTTCCAACGGTGGTCGGCCGACCACCGTTGGAAAATTTAAAAAAAATACCATTTTCTTGAAAATGACTTCACACCAGGTGCCATAATTTTACAGGGTACTTTAGACTGTCATTTACCAACATCCTAGTAAGGTATTTGGTAAAAACTAGGTAGTTTTATTTTTCGATGTTTGCAAATGTTGTATATTCCCTTTAAACTGAAGTCTTGCCAAGATGACTGATAGCCAGGCAAATGATTCCAATCGCAAATGCCGCCCTTTTCACAACATCACGGATTTTACACAGCTAACTGAACACAGTACTGAAATTCATTAATTAAGGCGAGGAACTTGGTCACAGGGTCCAGCGATTTTGTTGAGATCAATTGACAATTGTGCAGTGACGCGTGACTGAAATTCAATGAAACTCACATAGGCCAAGGATAAAAAGTATCTGCACAATCAAACAATTTCATGTAGTTATTTAATATAGTCAGATGGACACTTTTTGGGGACATACTGTAGACCAAAAATTGAGAAGCACTTTCAGGAGGACAGGGTAGAATATTGGTATTATCAAGAAAAATTTTGGAAAGTTTTTGAAATTTTTCAAAACTGTCAAAATTTAAAACCTGTTTTTTGGGGGTAATAAATTTCTTTATTTCATTCACTTTCGAAAAGGTCATATTTTAGGTTACAAGTAAACAGGTTGTTTTTCCGGGGGGGGGGGGGGGTATTCTCCATCCCTGACAGTGATGCCACACCTTATACCTTGTAAATTTTTAACCGTTTTGGAATGAGATTCTGTTAATGGAATGAGATTCTGTTACTTATAGGCTTAGAAAACTCCAAAGTCATTGCGAAGAACTTACTGGCATGTACATCCAGCATGAAGGAGTTGAAGTGCGCCCTCTGCTTGCGACGGACTTTCACGTCTTGGTAGAATAAATCCATCAGCATTGTCTTGCCTGTTCCTACGCTGCCATACAGGTATAAACCATTGGGTCCTGCGACTGGGGCGGAGCCGAGCATCTTGGGGTAAAGGATAGATGAATTTAAGGCCTAAATGTATGCACAGATGAGCATGAACAACACAAAGTCTGGCACAAGACCTTGACACAGTGCATCCTTCACAATCAGCCACACATTTTTGTCATATAGCCTCAATCCTGCAAAATCGTTTTGCAAAGAGCATTTTGGAGGATTTGGGAAGATTAGGGTTAAACAACCACCGCCAAAAAGGAAAGGCAAAAACTGCACACTGTTTCATCAGTATGTATCTTGTTCTGTGCTTTACTGATGCAAACTTGAGAAGACCAAATTAGTGCTTCTAAACATAGTAAAGTCGGACACAAGTCAATATGACCCATCAAGGCGGCATTTATCTCTGGTTTAGTAGCATGAAATGACTGAGAATATTTCTATTTCCCTCTTGATGGCATGCAGTCCATCGCAGGTTACTCCCCAGCCAGAACACATTTGTACTCCTAGGTGGAAAGAGGCGAATGAGGGTGAAGTGGCTTGCCCAAGGACACAAAATATGGCCAGTAGCTGTATTTGAACCCAGGAACTTCTGCTCTCTAATGACGTACCCTAACCTCTAGGACACACTCTCTTTCCTAAACTATTCTTTCCTCCCCTTAAAAAAAAAAAATCCACACCTTCCAAAAGAAGCTCGGTTCTGCTGGCTGATACCCTGCTATCTTGTCAAACAAGCCCTGAAGCTCTTGAACTATAGTTCTCTGATATGCATCTTCAGTCAGTTCTCCTTGATGAATCAGGCTGTCATACGCAGCTAAGGGTCCCGCGCGTTCATCCTGCCTCACCCTGCTAGTCTTACTGCTCAGGCGTTCCGTGAACGTGATGTTTTCTGACGTTATGGGCTCGGTGAAGTACGCTGTGGCTGCCACAAGAAATTGGCAAAGAAAGAAGTATAGTTACATGCATGTCAGACTTTCGACACATTCCATAAATAAATCGATGAGGTCAAATAGTTCAAATCAATTGATGTGTCTGAAGGGTCACCCAGTGTTCTCCAACTTTGAAAATTAAAGGTCGGTGCGCTTTCAAAAAGCGGAAAGGGGGGGGGGGGGCGCTATATTTTAGGGGCGCTATATGTTAGCGGCGCTATTTGCAGTCAAACATTCTTTATGATAGGGGGCGCTATATGCAGATGAACATGTAATTTATGTGTGGGTAACAGCTTTTACGCCATTTCTAACACAGTAACACAAACAGTTAAGTACAATACTGGCTCAGCATCATCTTTTTTAATTCATCAGTGACCAGGACTCTGAGGCAGTTTGGCCTTGAGACTTTTGATCTGATGGATTGCTACAATGGGCAGGCTTGTCAGTTTGACAAATGTTGCATGTTACTGCTTTTGGCAGAGTTTCTGGCCAAAATATACCCTGGATCAGAGTAAGGGTAGTCAAACTTGTTTGTCTTTTATATTATTTTTTCCTTTTTTTAAAGCATGGTGGCAACTTTTTAAGCATGGCGGCAACATTTGAAGCTTGGCGGGTGGAGAACACTGGTCACCTGTGTCCTTGAGCAATCCAGTTTACCACAATCACTTCATTTCAGTCTCATCAATCCTGGCTCAAGGCCCAATTAAAACAAACTGTTAATGTCTCACAAGAGTTTTAAAGACTCGATACTTTTACTGGTCACAGTGGTAGTGGTAGGTTCTTCCGATCATATCAAATCCACAAAGCCAACTCGTAGAGAATTTACTTTTTACTTTGCGGAACAGTCTGCATGTTGTTTGTAGATGGCTTAACTTAACCAGTTGGAGCCGGGATTATTTTGACATTTTTCGGACCTAGGCGCGGGATTGTTTTTCACGAACCTCGATGCCAGTCGGGTTCAGGCCGTCATCTGCGGGTAGCACACCCTGATATTTCCGGCCTCGCTCGCTGAGATCGGGCCAATAACAGATATTTCCGGCCACGCTCGTTGCGTGTTTATCCGTCATCGGTTCAAAACGTTTGTAAAACCATTGCATCTGGCAAAACTTTTGCATGTATACACGTCATCCGACGTGAACTGGGTTATAAAAATCCCTTATCACTCACCAGATGTTCTTGTTGAACTTGAAGATTTCCGTCGGCTGCAGCAAGTCACACAGGCAGTTCCATTCTGTTTCGCTGGCTGCACTCTGTGCAGTAACCGTGTACACAGCACTATGCTGGCAGTCTGCCAAGATGCCGCTCTTGCAACTTTCAGCATGGCCAGATATCTTGAAGAAGTCTTCTTGAATTATCTTGAAAAAAGTTTCAAAGAAGTTGTTTGATAACAAAGTTAACTGAATCATATTCATAATTTTGTTTTATTCACCATATTTGTAAAAGGCTGAGTAAAAAAGAAGTTTCTCGTCCAGGCTTTAAAAAAAATGAAGGAGGCGCCCCTCTTATTTTTGTACCAATATGGTTGATGGATTCTTTGATTTTCTTGACTTGCTTTGATGATAAAAAAATTTGTCTAAAAGACCAAAGATACTCCTAGAACTATGAGGCTCCTCGTAGTGGAGCCTCATAGATGAAGAACCCCGCAAAATTGTTTTCAGCACAAAACACTAATTAAGTACAAAAACGTCCATCAAAATGCAGACATTTCCCACAGAACCACTGCACAGTTTGCCCCCAAACTCCGTACTACACCTCATGACATACTCACGTAATATGCGCAGAACAAACATCGCTGGATTTGTCAGTTTTTTGGTGGTTCTGTGGGAAATGTCTGCATTTTGATGGACGTTTTTGTACTTAATTAGTGTTTTGTGCTGAAAACAACTTTACGGGGTTCTTTATCTATGAGTACGTGGAGCCTCATAGTTCTAGGAGTAGACCAAAGGGACTGCAACCCTTTTCACATAGCTACAATTTCCTAGGAAACAAATAAACAGACGATATATTGACATTTTCAAAATATGTTGCAAATTTATAAATTTAAAAAACGATAAACACAAAGTAAAAGCACAAACAGGAGATTTATTTTGATGAAAATCTAACACATTTTCGATATTTTTGAAGATTCCTCACTAGGCCTTGAAAATGTTGATATGATAAAAAATTGCTATCGTAATGGGGATATCGATATCAAAATTTAATATCGAATAATCAACATAATCAAGTAACATCAATCAATATATCAACCGTGCTCCGAGTCCGAGACTTCAATTTGGCTAAGATAGGCCTATCGTTACAGCAGTACACGGACATTGATTTCAGGATCCCGGCCCGGCTACATCATTGCATGTTTTACTATCAACAATCACGACAATTACCCCTACAAGTACATGTGTTACACAAGACCCATAGTTCTAGGGTATAAATCAACAATATGTGCCAATATGTCAATGATCAACAACAACATTTGGTAATTTTGACAAGCAATGGACAAGTGATGAACATGCACGATTTTCGATTTTTGGCGGACTTACTTAATACGTCAGAGATTGAGAGAATCAAAACACCAGCACCAGCATTGAGAAAGTTTAATACAAGTATCGTTTTGTCCTCTTCTACCGAGTTGTTCATGAGTCATATCGTGTACAAAAGGGCAAAAAAAAATGAAAGAAACTCGGCACAATCAAGTTCAGCCCGGCGCACACATGATGACCGGTGCCAACAAAAGGTCATCACGAACACCTTGACCTTTAACGTTATCTTTTCTTTTTCATTAAAATGTTCGACATATCACTATTAAAATCTCAAAATAGGTCTTAATAATCATTTAATCTCACAAATTTAAGATGTAAATTTTGTGTGAAAATTGTTGAATGATTGATATTTAGTTGCAAGTGATAATTTTTTTTTAGTATTTTGGGGTTTGGGTGACGAACGTTGAGGTCAACGCACTTTTTACACTCCAGCATGGCGGACGAAGCTGAACGAGCGGCGGCGGCTGCAGCGGCAAATGCTGACACTAGGCGGCTTGGTGCCAAGAAACAAACCCTAGACGATGCTTACGCCGCCCCAGCAAACTTCCTAGAGATCGATGTGCTCAACCCGGAGACACACGGCATCGCTAAGAAGAGATACACCGATTATGAAGTGCGGATGAAGGTGGGAGGTGTTTTTATTTGCCGTGTGCAGTAATGGATGGGAGTTGCCCACTTTCCGGACACTTCCCTTGACATACTTGAAAATGCATTGCAATGCATATGGGGAGGTCGTGAAGTGTGGGGCCTGTTTAGTTAATATCAAATTATAGTCAATGTTGTTTTTAATACTCAAAAATGACCTTTTCAACCTAAAGCAGACTTAGGTCACTACTAATACTAGGCCACATGGCTAGACCCGTGAACGTGGCTATATACATAGCCACGCTTCAGTCTATAGTAAAAACACTCTATATTGTGATTTGCAGTTACTAAGATGGAGTGACCGTTCTAGCCGAATTTCGGCTACATTTGACAGAATATTTGCATACAAAATTGAGTTGTGCAGAAAATCAGCAGAATATTTTTTTTTGGCAGAATTATTGAAAATGATGGAAAATGAAAAAGATTAGAAGAATATGGCACATTTGGTTTGAAAAACCTTCATTTTTTGAAAGATCCCTGAAACAAACCCTTGCACAATGGAACAGCAATATAAACTGGGTGATTTGGCAGACTTTCGAAGTGGATTTAGCAGAATTTTATATGGTATTACGGTCATCCTGCCATGTACGACGGATAGTCGGGTACCCACTGCTGATAGTTTTACCGTTTTGCGCGTGCGGAACACGGGGTACCAGAGTGTCATGCCTGTCTTTGATTTTCTGATCATTTTGAAAACATTTGTTGTGACAAAGTTGTGCCGTACTTTACATCAAATTTCTTGGCAATGCCAGATCCAACACTCGCGGAAATTCACAGGAAGCCCAACAAGTAAGTGATTCACCTATGGGCAAAATTATACATGGTTATATGTAGCGGATCAAAAGATACAATGCTTTCGCTTGAATTTACCCGAGGGAAGCGCGTGGCGTTGTATACGCCACGTTCACGGGTCTAATACTAGGTATGCTAGGGAAAAATTATTGATGGCCAGATAATGGGAATCTTGCAAAAAATTCGTACTGGGCCACCACTTTTTAAAATTAATTTTCAAGCGCCAAAATCATCCTTATGGTTATTTCCTCCACTTTCCCTCTACTCTCACCCTCTCCTTTCCTTTTTTCCTGTTTATTAATCAGTCACTTACTTCATCAGGATTCGAACCGTGGACACTTGCTTGAAAGACGGACTTTTACCACTAGACCACGTGTACGATCACATTGCAATGATAGATCTTTGGACGTATTTGTACCCATTGATATAAACTAAATATTCATGAGAAAATAAATATTCAAAATGACATATTGCACTATCATTGGCCGGCTCATCGTTGTCATGGTAGTCGATGTCATGCGTATAATGTACCGCTGTCTTCCAGACACTCCAGTCAAATTGACCGGCTGCTTCCAACTTCATCCTGCACGACGTGTGCATCAGAAATGTGCTCTAAAAACACATTTTCCTGAAAATAAATCGCATTTGCGAGTCTTCCTGGATTCATCTTGGGTGAAATCACAAGGTGAGGTGAAAATTGATGTATTTGGCAGCAGGTACATGGAAGTGGTGATCCAGGATGGAATATTTTCCGGAATCTTTCCCAAAAGGGAGCTCTCTTTTACCTTTTCTCGAAAATGGAATGAATTTTCTGATTAGAGATTTTTTTGTAGAGGAAAGAATAATCTTTCTTTCTAATCAGCCCGATCGCGCTGTGCTGTTGTATTGGTAAATTGCCACTAATCTCTTCGTACGCATCTACGCAAACCGACACGTTTTGATCTACGCATTTGTCCAGGGCTTGAATTGAACGACGGCCACGACGGCCAGTGCCGTCGTTGCCTTCTTACTGGCCGAGGTGCCCCACAAAAAATCCCTGTCTTCACGGCCAGTTTTGCCTTGCCCCATAATTACCTTGGCCGTCGTGCCCTTTTTGCAAAAACATCCATCAGCCTATTAAAACCACTACAATCCTTGATTCCAGTTGTTTTTTCCACACATTGACAATGTATTTCGATGCCATGCCAGCTCGATCAGTTGTCTTAATATCTCGCTGAATCAATCACACGTACGCGCGCAGTACAGTACGGCCGTGGCCGGCCGGCCAAACGCCGGCGATTCCCCACTGTACGATGATGTACACACACGTGCGTACGTACACTGACAACTGAATCTCCAGTTCCTGTATGTGCCGATACTTCAAGAAGCGACACCCCGCCGCAAAAATATATGTCTGTATTCGTACACACACATACCAGCAGGAGTACGTACGGCAGATCTTACGTGCAGTCAACCGACTTTCTTTTTCTCAGTGCTTGCGAATTGCATGCGCGGTACAGAACGCATTGATGTTCGTGTACGAGGCAAACTAGTTGGGGCATAGTCAAAACACGCGTGCACATGGCGTTTCGAATTCCGATTGTCAAAAGCGGACATTGTGAATGGCGATCGTGTATTAATTATGGGCCTGATTCCCTAAGAGAACAAAATCAACTTTTAATCCACATTAAGAACATGCAGGTAGGTTTATAGATAGAGGGAAGGGTTTCGAATTTTGAGGGGAATTTGGAGGGAAAACGACAACGAAAAAACGTAACACGAAAATAGAGATGGCGATCGCACGTCACAAACCATAAAACTACTTACAAAAAACGTAATTTCTATCCCCAAAAACTGTTCAAAATTATAAAACAGGTGCAATATAAGCTGAGAGAAGTCTGCTTTAGGTTGAAAAGGTAATTTTTTGAATGATAAAAGTACCTTTGGCTCAAATTTGATCGAAACTAAAGGGGGGCCCTAAAGTACATGATCGCTGATATAAATTCGCATTTTTTTTTTGCCGGCCTCTGTGCCCCTTCTGCAGATATTAGTTTGGCCTTGGTGCCCTCCCAACTGGCCTTGGTGCCCTCTATAATTTTGCTCCATTCAAGGCCAAAGTGGCCTTGCCCTAAAAATTCCCAAATTCAAGGCCTGATTTGTCATCCAACAGTGAACAACATTTTTTTCTAAGTTGCCGCGCGTTCGCTCTTCGGGTATATGCTGATCAGAAGGTATTACAGCGCAATTTTCACATGTAATTGTTCGTCATTATATTTTCATATGTCTCTCAAACTTACGAAAGCCCTGTAGTGCCATCAAGTATATACATTTGTATTTTGAAAAAGTGAAGTATATTTTTTCCAAATTCGTTTTTACGAGATATATATTTTTTCCAAGTTCGTTTTTACGAGATATATTTTTCCAAGTTTGTTTTTACGAGATATAAGTTCGTTTTTACGAGATATATATTTTCAAAAGTTCGTTTTTACGAGATATATTTTTTCCAAGTTCGTTTTTACGAGATATATTTTTTCCAAGTTGTTTTTACGAGATTTTCTTGTGTACAAAGTGTCACGTGCGCGTTGGTGTCCATCACTTGTAATTCTGTGAGGAAATGCGAGTTCTGGATCGATCCTAGGCCCAGCCCACAGTACAGGCACCTGAGGCACGCGGGAACGAAGCAAAGTTTAATTTGCTGTATATTCAGATATCCTGTGTCGCCCTGCTGTACTGACTGGAGGCAGCCCTGCGCTTTCCGAACTTTGGAAAAAATATATCTCGTAAAAACGAACTTGGAAAAAATAATCTCGTAAAAACGAACTTTGAAAAAATATATCTCATAAAAACGAACTTTGGGAAAAATATATCTCGTAAAAACGAACTTTGAAAAAATATATCTCGTAAAAACGAACTTTGGGAAAAATATATCTCGTAAAAACGAACTTTGGGAAAAATATATCTCGTAAAAACGAACTTTGAAAATATATCTCGTAAAAACGAACTTTGGGAAAAATGTATCTCGTAAAAACGAACTTTGAAAAAATATATCTCGTGAAAACGAACTTTGGGAAAAATATTTCTCGTAAAAACGAACTGTGGGAAAAATATATCTCGTAAAAACGAACTTTGGGAAAAATGTATCTCGTAAAAACAAACTTTGGGAAAAATATATCTCGTAAAAATGAAAAAATATGTCTCGTAAAAACGAACTTTGGGAAAAATATATCTCGTAAAAACGAACTTTGGGAAAATATATCTCGTAAAAACGAACTTTGGGAAAAATATATCTCGTAAAAACGAACTTTGAAAAAATAATCTCGTAAAAACAAACTTTGAAAAAATATATCTCGTAAAAACGAACTTTGAAAAATATATCTCGTAAAAACGAACTTTGGGAAAAATATATCTCGTAAAAACGAACTTTGGGAAAAATGTATCGCGTAAAAACAAACTTGGAAAAAATATACTCTACTTTTTTTCAAAATATATACTTGATGGCACTACAGGGCTTTCGTACAAACACATCCAAAAACTGGATACAAAAATGGCACATTTTTAAGCCGAAAAATTCCATCTCAAAATGGGGACTCAACTTCAGACTGATTTTCTGCATAGTAGGTATGTGGCGATCCCATGCATTGCCACTAATCTCTTCGGCCTCAGCCTCAATTTTGGGATCAATCACTGTGGCTAAAGGCCGTGTAAGGAGCGTAGGAGCACTTTCTTCGATGACGACACGTAGCTCATGTATTCTTCCACCCTTGTTTTCAATTTTTCTGAATTTGACAACTAGAAGTTTAAAAAATTTTGTCTCGAATTTTGTCTCGACAATTTACCCAAAGGTGATTAAAATACTTTAACAAACCACAATAATAAGTTTTCTACATTTGTTTCCTAACTTTTGGCCAATTATGACGGAGATTGGACGATTCCCAGGTACATTTTTCGGATTCCAAAAATTTGATGTCAAAAAAGTTACAGTATAGAAAGTATGGTGTGTAATCCAGAACAATCCTGGGAAATCTGCGAAACGGGTCACACTTACCCAAGTCAAACTTACATTTCTTTTGTTTTTCCTTATAAAAGAAATTGACCGAAATGGGCCTAAAATTGCTGGATTCAAAACGTCATAACTTTCTTATTTCATGTCACAGGAAGATGATCCTTGTATCATTGTAAAGATATTTTATTAAGAGTGACATTTACAATGGTACCAGTTTTATTAGAATCTGTTGATTTTGAAAACTTGTCACATACCTACACATATGCCTATGGTAGCTATCAGACGGGCCAATCACAGGGCACTTCGATAGGGCGTCGTCAAGGCCATAACCGGTAGGTGAGTCTAATAAAAATTCCTTTTTGTTCTTTCATAGGAACTGGGTCCCTAACTAGTACACAATTGCCTTTATCTGTCTGTAGACTAACCTGCCTGTTTTCAAGCTGAAGGAATCCTCGACCAGGCGAAGATACAGTGACTTTGAGTGGCTCAGGACTGAACTGGAAAGAGACAGCAAGGTTTGTGTTCAATTTATATCATTGACCGTTCAGGACTCAATGCAGGAACAGTAGAGGGCGCTCTTTGACCACTTTCAAGACGTAAGTGGAGGGACACACTGCACAGGTGTAGTGGTTCACGTTTGTAAGGCACAAAGTATGCACAACTAGTTTAATTCTAGAGGTTCACAAACCATAGCGTCATCGCCTGAGCATCTGGCGTTGTCAGTACCGCTGGGCGAATAACTTGATTACTCGAGCACTCGCGAGTAGTTTATGCTACTCTTTGTTTTCCTGGTGGCTTTTCATCTACTCGAGCACTCGTCCTGGCACGAGTAGAAGCAGGTACTCGCAAGTAGCAATTTAGGGTTTAGGGCTCACGGCTTAATACGTCCCCTGCAAACAGGGAATCACTCCCTCCACCTCTCTCTCCCTAGGATTCCATTCGTCCACAAAATAAATTTCAAATAAATGACCCAAAACTTCATACAGCAGGGATATCTCAGTGCTGACGAATTTGGTGTGACTTGCTCGCTATTTGCTTGTAAGTTACTTCCTATCATACTAACATGTATGTCATTTTTCTGCTTTTATGGGAATTTGGTTATCTACTCGCGAGTACTCGACTAATTTCTTTGTGGGTACTCAAGTAGAAAAATCCACTACTCGCCCAGGCCTAGTTGTCAGCAATGTAATGGAGTATCCCTCCCAATGGTCTCCCCCAACTCTCCCTTTGTAACCGTTGAGGGGGTACTTGCGCATGAAGTCTGTGCCACTTTATCAAATGTATGTTCATGTCATTCAGACTAAAGTATGTCTGTGCAGACAGTTAGCACGCATTTAAATTTACAGTGAAACCCCGCTGTAACGAACATCCCAGGATCCACAGAAATTGTTCATAATAGCGATCGTTCAGTATAGCGATTTTAAGCTGCCGGTGCTCCGGTAATCACTTTCAACAAATAGCGCCCTTCAGAACTTCAACCTGCACGCCCTGGTAGTTACTGAAAGACAACTTTGAACATGTGCCGACTATTGAATGATGTAATTACACAGTTTTGAGCTTACCACCTACAGCAATGGGTGGCTTTCCCCTTCTATTCCTTGGGGAAATAATAACCACTTGTCACTCTTCTGTTGACAATTTTCAACAACAATGTTCAGTACATTTTGTACACAAACCACTTGCACTCCGCATCCGCGTAGCCGGCAAAGGGGTTGTTAGTTTGGAAGAACTTTTTTCTCGATCTCCATTCGTTTTGCATTGCGAGGGACTTCAACTTCGTAGCCGCGTAGCCAGCAACATGGTACTTGGTTTTAGACTTCAATTTGTTCAGCAATTCCAATCGTGTAGCCAGTGATTTTAAGGGTGTATTTCCGAGTGGCAGGGTATTCTGTAATTACTCCATTACGAGACCCTTTTCCGTTAATGAATTTCATTCTCTTTTCCCCTATCATAGATCGTGGTCCCTCCCTTACCTGGCAAAGCGCTGAAGAGGCAGCTGCCGTTCAGAGGCGATGATGGCATCTTTGACGATGAGTTCATTGAGGAACGACGCCAGGGCCTTGAATCATTTGTCAACAAGTAAGTGTGATGAGAATCCATGCTGTCTGCTCTTACTGGAGCGGAGACGTTCATTCCATACATCCATTTTCGTAGTTTGTGTTCAATTTCAGTTAACCTTTATCTCCAGGGTACTTTTGATAGAAATCCTGCCAAATGTAACACTATGAGAAGCCTGGACAGTTTAACAATATCCATCAGGTCACAAATCTCAAGTCCAAACTGCCTCAGAGTCTGTGGTCGCCAACTGCAGGCGGATACAACCATGGCATTGTTCAATGGGACTAGCTGTCACAAGGGCGTCAGTCGCTTCTCAAAATGTGGGGGTGGGGGGGGGGGGGGGGACATACCATGATCAGAACTGATGCGAGGGCGAAGCCCTAACGGCATGGGGTTCGGGGTTCGGGGTCTGCTTAAAGAGGTTGTGGAATGCTCGAAGACATTTCCATCATTTTTTGGGTATATGTAGCCTAAGGTGTGATGAAATAAAATGATGAAATAAAATTTCTGTCATGAAATGAGTACAAAGGGTACTTTTGAGAGCTATTTTTCAGGTCCTGTTTCGACCCGAATGTGCAATTTGTGTAAAAGTCGTCGTTGCGGGCAGCAAACAAAACACAGTAAATCGTGACGTAATAAACAGGACTCGTGTATGCTACTCTACATCGGGAGTCCTGTTTATTACGTCACGATTTACTGTTTTTTGTTTGCTGCCCGCAACGACGACTTTTACACAAAATGCACGTTCGGGTCGAAACAGGCATGACAGGACTTGAAAAACAGCTCTCAAAAGTACCTTTTGTACTCATTTTATGACAGAAACAATAGTCGTTTTTACTTCATCGCACCTTAGGCTACATATACCCGAAAAATGACGGAAATGTCTTCGAGCATTCCACAACCTCTTTAAGGGTGCTGACAATTTTTGGACCCAAGGCACTCTGTGATCTGAGGCAGTTTCTAACCACTTTAACCAATTGGTTTTTTTTTAGCAAAAGATCATCATTTTAACATCATTTTCCATTTTGGGGTCATTTAATCGGCTATTCTGAGCTGTAGAATCAAATGTAGGCTACAATTTTTTTTTGGGGGGGGGATGGGGGGACAAAAAAGTGGGCTCTCATTGATTCAGAATTGGCCATTTAGGCACTGGTGTTGATAGCTCAATGCAGCAAGGTCCCACAGACTCTTACACCTGATGCACTGTGTTTACGTCTGGCAGGGTTAAGATTAACAAAACTCAAAATCTTATACAGAAAGAAAAACAACTGCTGTTTACACGGTTCAGCTCAGTGTACTCTAGTTCAAGATAAAACAAATAACATGGCATCATAAGGGGAAAAAGTAATAGTAGTCAATTTAAAACCATTTGAAAGACAACCTAGCCCGGTATTCCGCACTTGATTCCGTCTGAAGTCAGGATTACTGAAAATATTGAACTTGGATCTGTCCCTGTGTTTGCAAACTGTTCCAAGTGCTTTTGGGAATCAAGCTGAGTTTTTCCTCTGTGGGAAACATTTAACAGGCTGCTTCACAAACGTACATGGTATATAATAGTAATAATTTGGGCGGCTAATCATCCTTACTGGCAGCTGGTATGCTGAATTGCGAAGGACGCGGCTACAACGTGGTCGAGCAGTACTCCGGCAGCCAGCTACATCGACCGATATATGACCACGGAGCACAGCCTGAGATCGAAAGTGTTTGATTTTTCCGGAGGAAAACCGGAGAACCTGGAGAAAAACCCTCGTGGCACAGGAGAGAACCAACACACAACTCTACTCACATATGGTCCGCAGCCAGGAATTGAATCAGCCGAGGGCCTAATGCACTAGCCACCCACGCCAAGTTAAAAACATCAATTCATTTTTGTTTTGCTTTGTTCATTGCAGAATCTCTGGCCACCCACTCGCCCAGAACGAGCGCTGCCTACACATGTTCCTGCAAGACCCGGTCATAGACAAAAACTACGTGCCGGGCAAAATTCGCAACACATAAGCACACAGAAAACCGTTCCCCTCTCAAAAGCACCCTGAGGCGACAACTCCGCTCCCTGCTTCTTGAGTCTTGTGGATGTGTTACCCGCAGGTTGTATCTTAAAAAAAGTTTTTCTTTTATACCAAGTATACATATATACCCATAGATAAACTTGTTTACATGGGGTGTTTTCTGTTGAACACCCCGACACTTTGATTGTTGAATACTGTGAATTAGAGAAAAAGTTAGATTTGGTAAAAGAAAGTACATTAGACTTTGGGTTGCAACATGCAACACTTTGTGTTTTAACAGGAAGAGTAGAGTACTTGTTTTAAAATGCTGCAAGCAGTATCTAGTACAGAAAAGGGGACAAACAAAATCAGTTTTCATGATACATTGATTCGGTTAACCCTAATCTTCCCCATTCCTCCAAAATCCTCTGAAGTGGAGGATTTTGAAGGATTGAGGCTGTACAGCAATAATGATCCAGTCGAGTTTGGAGGATGCATTGTGCCAAGGTCTTAGGCTGTACCTTGTGTTGTGTATATGCTTTGCCGTGCATAGAAATAGGCCTAGATGATAATTGAAATCCTCTGCAAGTGCTTCTGGGTATCCTCTGCCCTGCCTCAACCCATTAACAGTGATTGTTGGAGGATTGTGCAGCATTGAGGCGGTGGCCTCCCTCCACTGAACAAATTCAAGAAATAACGGTTGCTTTTGAAGGAATGAGGCTGTATTCCATTTTTACCATTGAGGCAGTGGATGATTTTGAAGGATTGAGGCATCCTAGCAAAGAGGCCTGTCTGTAAGCACTGACCCAGATCCGTCAAAATCCACTTGGAAATGTTTCAGGATTTTGCAGGATTGTCAGGAAGTTAGATCCAGTCTGCATCATTGGGATTTGAGGCCCCTTAATCAGTTCACATCAGATGACGGATAAACACGCTATGAGCGAGGCTGGAAATATCTGTCAGTGACCCGCTCGCAGCGAGCGAGGCCGGAAATATCAGGGTGTGCTCCCCGCAGATGACGGTCTGAACCCGTCTTACATACATGTAGAGGTTCGTGAAAAACAATCCCGCGGCTGGGTCCGGTCGATGTCAAAATAATCCCGGCGTAAACTGGTTAAGAAGTACAGAAAAGTGCCATTAGATTACTACACAGTGAGGGATTTGGGGATCCAAAAGTCCACCCCCCCCCCGAAGTTTTGGTTGTATGGTTCGTAAGAGTTACATATTGTAGGATCCTACACACTACACGGCAACCAAGGTTTTGTTCTTGGAAGTATTTGAGATTGCAAGGATAACTGTGTTTATTAAACCCATTTGTCACTGTACCGCACCAAACCGCCCTGCCTATTACTCACTGTAGCGCCCAAAACCGCCCAAGGACTCAATGGTATGATTGATTCTTCAGTGGATAAACACAATGTACATGTAGTACAGTAGGTAATGGGTTAACCCTAACCACCGCAACTCCATCAAAATCCATCCCCCCATTTGGGTGGATTTTGGGGGACTTGGTCCAGAAGGCCTGGCGTGACTAAATATTTAATGGAGTATGATGGACTTGGACCTAATGGCCTGAAGCAGTGCTAGGGGTATCCAATTGATTTTGCGTAGCTTCCTGTACTGCTATTGTGATAAAAGCCATGTGTAGCAAGTCCATGAATGTCAACCAGTGCGTCAGTGGTGGATTCCATTATGTCATGTACAGTTTTGTATTGGACGCACAGTGATTGATGGATTTTGATGGACTTGGTCCAGTTCCTAGTTAAAAGACGCTAGGGAGTTAGGGTTAAGTATGGCCATCGTGCTAATGGCACTTCGACTTTCTACATTGCTGGAACAATATATTTTACTCAGAAAAAACACCTCAAGATCCTTATATTCCTGGCTCTCTGAGACACACCTTTGACTTGAATGATTTGGAGAATTAAAACCTGTATTGAAATTCATTATCTGAATTGATTTTCATGGTATTTTGTATTCTTAGAAGCCTCATAAAATATATTGTCATTTGGCATGACAAATATAAAATCCATTTGTAAAATAATAATCCCCCCTTTAAATGCTCAATGTGTGATTAAATTCGTCAGTTAATTAAGCCACGCCATTTATAATGCCAGTAATTAAAACAACAGACTTTTCCATGAGCACTGTATTTCTAGTTTTCTTTTAGCAGCAACACAAAAGAGGACAATAGACGAATCAGTAGGCTCCGCCCACTGAATTCATGGGAAACAACATGTGTTGAATATTCATCATGGCTGTGATTGGTCAAAAACACCAAGAGGCGGAGCTTAATGCATCAGCGTATTAGCTTGTTACTGTAGGACGAACACCACACTATGCATGTACATATGCGCTTTGCCAAATAGAGAATCACTTGAACATAATGATGTACAGGGTGAGTAAAAAAAAATATGAAACCCAAATGTCAAGACCATTGTTTTAGTGAAGTTCTGCATTTAACACTTTCAAAATCTAGGATATGAAAGCCCAATTCATAAGCTTTCTTTTAGTACAAGCATCATTCAAATCACTCATGTAATTTTCAAGTTATGGAATTTTAAACACAACCACCATTTTAAAGTTCTGTCAACGGATCACAAAAAGGTACGTGTTCTTTCAGCAAAACAAAAGCAAATCACATAGGGATGTGTGTGAATTGTTTCTGTTTTGCTTAAAGAACGCACACCTTTTTTTGTGATCCGTGGACAGAACTTTAAAAGGGTGGTTGTGTTTAAAAGTCCGTAACTTGAAAAGTACATGAGTGATTTGAATGATTCTTGTATTAAAAGAAAGCTTATGAATTGGGCTTTCATGTCCTAGATTTTGAAAGTGCTACATGCAGAACTTCACAAAAAACAATAATTCCGACATTTGGGTTTCGTTTTTTTTTTATAATCACCCTATATGTTCTCAGTCATCCAGTAGTATTAGAAGAAATATTAAAGGAATCCAATTCTGGAACTTACCTTTTGCAACTTGCGATGTTGCGCCCCAAACCGTCGGACTTTGTCAGGCAATTCTATCAGGCCGTCCTTCACGTGACCAGCCCAATGGGTCATCGGTTGCCTGACCAAGTCTGATGGTTTCGGACGCAACGTCGCAAATTGCAAAACGTAAGTTCCAGAATGTTAGATTCATCTAATATCTCCTCTAATCACTTGAACAGTTCACACAGAATTATCACTGTATCTAATACCATTTATTGTTCTTCTTTTTGTAAACTATGTAAACAAATGCACAGGTGCGCACATTCACGTAGAATAGATGAAATCAACTCTATGGTATGTCTTTAAGTTTCATCTTTGTTTTTAGTAAATAATGAGTATCTAAAAAAGGACAGAAATAGTTGAGGAAGAAAGTGCATTTTTTTTGGCACAGTCTAACATTTGACTACCAATCACACCTAAAAGTATTATAAATATCACAAAATACCATTTACATGCATGTTGCAGTAGCTTTTGTGTAATCATAGAATTTCCTTTTTACTATGAATCTGTTAAAAAAAATGGTCTTATGTGTACAGATCAGTGTTAAAAAAGTGTTTCTTTATTTTGTTCAAAAATAATCAAATTAATATAGAGTTATTTTACCTTGAAATTGAGCTTGTAGTGAAATAGGTATTTTCCTACGCCCAGTAGTATAGGCCCCCCCCCCCCCAAAAAAGTATCCGATTTCTGGTATGGAGCTTGCCCCAAAAGTGGTGCGGCCACACGTATTTTTTTTCCCAACTTTTTTTTTCTCTTTTAAATGTCGGCTGATGTTGCAGATGACGCTCCGATCTCCTTAAAACTCTCAAAATATATCCTTCAGACTGCAGCTTGACCTCAGTAAGGCCATAAGGCTTGAGAAGTATATTGAGCTAATTAAAAAGCGTTTACAGGTTCCAGATACACGACCATCGCTCCTTCAGTCTGGCTTCCAGACGCACAATAACAAAATTACAACACCGTCTGCAAATGGTGCCCGACTAAATTTAGTGCAAAATGTATGGGAGCCCAGACAGGCCACATGAAGCTTAATTTCGATCATAACCCCATCTAAAAACATGTTAAAATTGTGCAGCAGCAGGATTCCAGTCAAACCAGTGAGTTTGGCGGTTTTGAGACATCATCTTACATTGAAAAAAAAAAACCTTTTTAATTTTGCTGAGGCGCATGGTTACGGCGACGTGCGCGCATACCAGAAACCGGAGACTTTTTTTTTGCCCATACAGATGTTGTGTGTAATTGTAGTTGTAAAGTGGGTGTGGGGTAAGAAAGTAGGGGTGTGAACAGGTAAATGTCAAGCAATATTACTATTGACAATGCCCTGAGGAGGTGGAATTTCAGTAGAGGGGTTCTCCTTGTCCCTACCCACTGACACATTCCTTGTTCACCCACCAAAACAATCCTTGACTCTTCCCACTGCCCTCCGTCTAGCTCCACCCACTGACCCCTTCTGGCTCCACCCACTGACCCTTCTGGCTCCACCCAGAGACCCCTACTGGCTCCACCCACTTACCCTTCTGGTTCCACCCACTGACCCTTCTGGTTCCACCCACAGACCCCTTCTGGCTCCACCCACTTACCCTTCTGGTTCCACCCACTTACCCTTCTGGTTCCACCCACTTACCCTTCTGGTTCCACCCACTTACCCTTCTGGTTCCACCCACAGACCCCTTCTAGCTCCACACTGACCCCTTCTGGCTCCACCCACTGACCCTTCTGGCTCCACCCACTTACCCTTCTGGCTCCACCCACTGACCCTTCTGGCTCCACCTACAGACACGTTCTGGCTCCACCCACTAACCCCTCCCAGCTCCACTCACTTTACCTCTCCTGCATCCACCCACTAGTATTTTCCACAGCTCCACCCACAGAACTACCACTGGCCGTGCATTTATATTGGGAATGTTTGAAAAAAAGAAAATCAACTTCTAATTTTGAAAAATTGACTTGCTTTTGCAAAGTTGGAATTTAATCCTCAGTGAGCCTCTGTACTAATGACGTCACACTTTGTTTACATGTGCACTTTCCTATGGAGCCAGTGGGGGCCCACGGTCCACTGAGCACCATAGGAAAGCACACACGTAAACAAAGTGTGACGTCATTAGTACACAGGCTTATTCAGTGTTTGAAAAACTGTTTCTATCTAATGGTTCGTGTTTGTAACATGGCTGGTATAGTAGTATTGTAAGTGGTTAACACTCCAGAAATGTGGTTACTGCATATAGAGGTGAAGTTCAAGAAATCTGCCCATGAAATGATTTACATGTACATGTGCTACAAGCTAGTTCTTAAGGCTCATTTTGTGAAAGTTTCATGAGATGCATGTGCCTACAAGGCCAAGTACACGTTCCTCACAAAAAGGTCTATCCAATATTTGTTCAATTCATTTTTCCTAAGTTGATTGAAATTTACAACCTAGATATGAATTTTGATTTCTACTTAAAAAAAAAATGAAACACAGGCATTTGGAATCTTGAAATAGAAAGCTACTCAAGAAAATCTTCACTTTTTATTGTTTCCTTTTTAACAACTCTCTCCTATAGTAATGACACTGCACCATATAATGGGCTTATACTTTAGTCCTTCATCAGCATGGCATAAATGAATGATTAAAATATTAAAATAAAATCAGTACAAATGATTGTGCCCATTTATTAGCGCTTTTGTAAAAATTAAAAGAATACAGTTGCACAATGTACTGTGGATTACATATTTGTACGTGATTCGTGTATACTTTTGTATGTGGAATGGTGCTCCCAAACAAAATCAAGTCACTGGATTTTTAACACTGTGTAAAAAGGATGGGGGATAGTGGCCTAGTGGTTGCATGGGAGCATTGAACTGTATACTCCCCAGGGAGCTGAGATGGTCTTTGGAGTGTTTTCATTGGCCCGGTGAGCAGGGGTAATAATATACTGTGACATGGTAGCCTGTTTGGTTGATTTGTGCGCTATATAAATCAATATTATCATTATGGTTAGGGTTTGTGGCTCGTGATCTGAGGGGCAGGGGTTCGATTCCAGCTGCTGGCCATATATTGTGTCCTTGGGCAAGCCACTTCACCCCCACTTGCCTCCCTCCACCTTGGAGTACAATTGGTACCAGCATTAGTTGGGGAGTAACCTGCGATGGACTAGCATCCCATCCAGGGGGAATAGAAATATTCTCAGTCGTTTCATGCCAAGGAAACTGGAGATAAATGCTGGCCTGATGGGCCACATTGGCTCGTGACAGACTTTACTTACAAATGTGCGATTGTAGAGTCCCATCTGTGTCTGTAACTTTCTTCTCACAACTCTCAAACGGCACTGTGCATGCAGTAAATAAATTTATTTTAGTAAAGATGCAAACTTCCACGAAAAACTTGTTTTGTCATTACACTAAGTGTGGTTTCAAATTCTTTTCTGTAAATCACAACACATCTTGGGTATGGATAACAAAACAGGCTATGTTGCGCATAAACTGCGTTGCTTGTACCCAGGACGCAATGCGAACGCCAAAAAAGGTTGATTGAGAAGTACTTTGAAAACCTGACGGTGGATATTCCATTTTTTGTTAACAAGGCTGAATTTGTGTAATTTCCTCAGCCCTCACGATGCATGCAATGTATACCGTGTCTTTATTGATGTGTAAATTCCCATCCCATATTTGCTGTTTTTTTAACTTTCCATGTAAACTGAAACATCAGTATTGCACTGCCATGCTACATTAGAATAATTGGACCGTTGACATTTTCTGAATTGTCGCCATCTGTCGTGTTCATTTATCACTATCCTGTCCTCGCCTTCTGATGGCATTATGCGTGTATAATTGCAATCTTAACATAACTGCATTGTTAAATATTACAAGCGTGGCTTGCTTGAACTTAATCTACATAAGATTATGGAAATGCACAGCGGCGTAGGGGGGGGGGGGGAGGAAGATTTCCACAAAAAATCGTCGGCCCCCCCACTGGAAATTTGTTACTGCTATAAGTGGTGACTGCTCTATGTTCCGACACCCCCTATGTTCCGACACCCCTATGTTCCGACAACCTGCACATAAGATTGTGTTACTCCCGGTTAGGGTTAGGGTTAGAATATGTGCAGTCGGAACATAGGGGTGTGGGAACATTGAGGTGTAACCCTATAAGTTAAGTGACCATGATTAACCTGGTTTAACAGAAATTAGGCGCCCCCACTGTAACATCCAGCCCCCCACTCCCCCCCCCCCCCAGCTCCCAACCCCTCCCAGCTCCCAACCCCTCCCAGCTCCCAACCCCCCACTCCCAACTCCCACTCTGTTCCCCCCCACCCCCACTACCAATTCCCACTCCCCCCTATGGTGAGATCCCTGCCTACACTGCTGGAGATGCACTTGTTCAAAATGCACTTGTTCAACCACTGTTGACCGTCTATGTAATTATATGAAATGTATATGAGCAGACAGACACATTGTTCGAGATGAGAATGTACATCTGATTTGGGGTAGCATCACTGAAGGTGATTTTTGTATCGTGGTTCTACTCTTAATTCTTGTAACGAGCAAAGATTCTTTTAGTTTTAACACATGTATGCATGTTGGCTACAAAGTGGAAATTATAATGGCTGTTAACTGCTACACATGTACATGAACTGAAAAAAAAAAAGACGAGAAAAAAGAAAGAAATATTGAGCCGTGTTTTATTGGTTGTTCTGTTTTCAGTTACGCATGTTTTATTTTTGAAGGGTCCGTGGAGTGAAAAAACTTTGGGTAATATAAATATCTCCGAGTTCAATGAGAACATTTTGAAACACATTTTGTGTTTAATTTGTCTTTAAAGTGTACTTTCCACTCTTTCAATCTCAATGCTGTCAACTGAGGCGTTCTTGCTGTATACATTTGCAAACATCCAAAAACAGAACTACCAAATCATCACGAAATACTGGACTGTTAGTGAATGATTAGTCTAAAGCATCCTGTAAAATCATGGCACCTGGTGTGCTGACCTTTTCAAGAAAATACTGGAAATACTGCTCTCAATTTATCATATTTAGTCTGCATTTTCTTTGCACACCTGTGAATGGGTACAAGCCAGCTAAACTGATTCCCTGACGTCTATGAAATTGCTCCACAGGCAGACCGTGTGTTGATCTTGAATTGGCCGTTGTGCACGGCCTATTGAATAATTTTCACTCCAGTGCACACCCCGGAGTATTGAAACATACCAGGTTTCGGCAAGAAATATCGTACAAATACTGTTGAAATGACTCTTGCGAATTGGTATTTGTGGTGTTTGGCTGTATGTACATGGTATATCAGAAGTTTGCTGGAAAATTGTGCCTTTTGCGAAAATCAGAATTTTCGGCAAAAATAATCCCGGCGCGAAGTGGTTAAGGAGCCAGCACATTTCCAGCAGCTGAATTAGAAGTTGACCCCCATACTTCAGAATACGACTCATGAACCCAGCCTAACCACTAGCATACTTTTCTAAAACAAAACGTAATTCCTAAAAGGGGACACTGTACACGTTGAAGTAATTGTGGAGTGGTGTGGTACAATGGTTATGGTGTTTGACTCATGTGCCCCAGTACATGGGTTCAAATTTGACATGGAAATGGTGCTTGTATTCTTGGGCAAGACACTTGACTACAATTGCTGCTCCCCATCCAGGAGTATACATGTAAATGAATACCTGTGAGGCCATAGACCACATTGAGCTGATCTCGAGCTGATCTCGAGCTGCTGCAGAAAACTGGTCTCATGGCCTTATGAACAGAGGTACTAGTTGTGAAGCGCTGCAAGACTTTAGTATTAAAGCGCTCTATACGCAGCACATTAGTATTAAGAACTTAGAAATCTGTAGCTTTTGTAAGTTCTCACACAAACCTTAACGGATGAGGGAAAATTAACGCTCTGAACTAAGCTCAACTCAGAAAACAAAACACAAACAATGCTACACCTAATATATGTCATTCAAAGTCCAATTTAATATGTTGTCATTCCAACTCATTTAAGGTAAAAATCCAACCAAGCAATATTTACAAATGATATAAAACAAGGATTGTCATTGGCTAGATAACAACTCTTGTTGTGACAATATTTACATATATGCTAACATTCAGGATTGTTGGGAGAAAAAGACACGCACATTGCAAAAGGATATGGACATTCGAGTAGGAGTTTAATGCATTAGGGCCACTTAAAGCAGGAAGCGAAACTATGAAAAGAAATGGTTCAAATATATTAAATGTGAAAACATTTTTGAAACATACATGTACATGGTTCTAAAGGGCCAAGTCACTGTTAATTTTGACAGGGGTTTGATATTTCAAAATTATGTACAGAGAATGTGCCACTGTTTGACTGCCGAGTGTTGGCTCTTGAAGATTCAGGAAAGTTTGTTGTCTTGAGAGTCCAGGTTCAGCACTTGGTAGGCTACAAGGTCACAGGAAGGTCGGAGTTCAAGGTTCAAACAAGCCACACTCTACAATCTTACACTCCTTCTTTGGTCGTTCGTTGTATGTCTCCTGTTCCTCCAATGTATCCAGCAACTCGGTGCCTTCAATCAGCTTCCTGTAACAGGAAGCAAATTCCGAAAAAAAAGTCTTTTCTTAAAAATGGCCAATGTTTGGAAAAAAAGAAGGAAAAATCAGCCATGCAGCTGTTAGGCAAGTTCAAATGAAGAGAATGCTCATACTTTAATAAAGGGGCACTGCGTCCTGAAATCCCCGAAAATTTCATGTTTTGGATTGTTTACTTATCCTATTTCAAACATCTGGTTGAAAGGAAACCAACCTAATGTCTTACTGTTCCCGAGAAAAGATGAAAAAAAACGGTTGTTTACATTGGACACGACGGAGTACGAAAACGTTTTTCCTGTCGCTTTTAGTAAATGTACGATACACGTTGTGTGTCTCACAAAAATTACACACAGCACCAATGCACAAATGCGGTTTCTTACACGTCCGCAGAAGGCGAACACTTTACGGCTGAAATCACAACTAGCACGAACAGCCCAATTTTTGGAGGGGTCGCAAAGGTGGACCCCGAAAAACGTCCAGTTTTTAAGGGATGGTTGTGTGGATGTTTATATCCTACTTTAAAATGCTCTTTTCGATTAACATCATTTCGTTCAAAACGGGTTTTTTTCCAGCCAAATTGGGTGCTTTCCAGGCCGTGTCCCTTTAACGCAAAGATGTACAACTTGATACGGAAAACAGTAATGATCTAGATGATTTTATTCTACAATTTAAAAAATTTTTTTAGACAGAGATCTTTTACAGTCCCTTATTCATCCTCCCTTTTGTTTCCCTAGCCCCGCCCTCTCCTTGGCTGGTTCCCATACACCTACCCAAAGGCCACATATTTAGTGTCCATCCATGGTGCAGGCTGGAAGGTGACATAGAACTGGGAACCGTTGGTGTGTCTGCCTTGGTTGGCCATTCCTAGCATTCCTCTTGAGGTGTGCTTGATGGAATAATTCTCATCTGTCGAAAGAAATATAAAATGTAATACCAACCACAATGTGCTCACCCATTCTAAAATTTGTATCCATGTGGAGACATTTCTTTGTTCTCGTGTAGTAAAGTGTTCAATTTTGAAAGTGAAGTTTCAAAATGCTCTTATTTTAACCAGAATTAGTTTCCTTGGCTGAAATTTGGACTTGATATCCCTTTTCTAAAACTCTTCCATTTGCGACAGATCAACCCACCTTGGAAATTCCTAGTTTTTGAGTAAAACCCATATATCTATTTCGTGAAAACCTTGTGGAGACCTATTCATCTATAGAAATTGCCCTGTGGAGACCTTTACAATGTTTTGTTCCCTATTGTGTGTGTGTCTCCACAAGGATACGAATTTGTGGTCAAGAAGCTACATCGTTATTACCAAGTTCCCACAGAAATCTTGAAATGAAATTCCGTGACTTAATTTTCCGTAACAAAATTAGGGCTTTCCATAACCAATTCCTACGCTGTTTTGGCAGCTTACAAGCCTGTTGCTCGGGAGGCAAGGGACACCACTCCCTTTCAGCCTTCCAGTTTGACACAAGACCACTGAGCACCACAAACACATCACAATTATGTTGCATTGAACGAGCAACAAGTATTGAGCATACATGGATGAAGAGAGAGTGTAGTAAACTGGAATGCATACTGGAAGACGGCCATAGCCAATATAACAAATCATCACGTATATATCGGTTGTGCAGGATTCCATGACATTCCATGATAGCTTTAAATTCCAGATTTTCCAGGATTTTTCCGTGACTGTGGGTCGTGTGGGAACCCTGTTATTACCCCCGCTCACTTTACCTTTAAAGTCTTGATTCTGCTATTTCAGTAAAAAGGGCCAATCATGTGTTTTTTTTGGTTGCTTTTTTGCACAATAATTGTCTCTGCTTTCATATGCACCCATTTCTTTAAAACTGGGTGGGGGAGAATTAAGAGAATAGAGACAAAGTCCCTTGCCCAGGGACACATGCACTGCCACTCCACTGGATGGACTCAAACCCTCAATCTTTAGAAATGCGCCCTTGAACAAAGACAATGATAAAATGGGGAACCGCCAACATATTGCTGGATAGCTCAGTTGGTAGAGCACCATTCCGGGGTTCACAGGTTCAAACCCCGCTTCAGTTAATTTCTTTTTTCCAAGTTTTAAATCTTTAGAACTGCATCAGACTGAACTGTCACTTTTGACCTCAGCTGAAAAAATGTTGCCCCTGCACTCTCATATCATGTTATGCTCATTTGAAATGATCATCTGGCTAAATAGAAAACGTCGTATTAAATACTTTTTGTCCCAGGTGGAGTTTCAGATCTATACTTTCATTTACCTTCAAAGAACTGTCCGTAGATCGACTCCCCACCATCGCCTTTGCCAAACAGTATATCTGGAAGAAAAAAAGTTTACAAATTATTAAAGACGCTCCGTCCTTTGAGAGTACAGTGACTACACAACCAAACCAGTACCACACGAAACAAAGTGACAGACTTTAAGGCCAAAAAAAGGGCTCCGGTTTCTGGTCTGCGGGCCCGTCGCCGTAGCCATGCTCGTCAGCAAAATTAAAAGTTATATTTCAATGTCAGATGATGTCTCAAAACTGCCAAACTCACTGGTTTGACTGGAATCCTGGTGCTGCACAATTTTAACGTGTTTACGTGGGGTTATGATTGAGTATAAGCTTTATGTGGCCTCTCTGGGCTCCCATATATTTTGCACTTTACATGTAGTTGGGCACCATTTGCAGACGGTGTTGTAATTTTGTAATGGTGCATCTGGAAGCCAGACTGAGGGAGCGATGGTCGTGTATCTGGAACCTGTAAAGGCTTTTTAGTTACCGCAATGTGTAAGGGAGCAGACTAATGACCAGCCTGCAGCTCATGCATGATGTCGATGTCGCCGTATGGTCTGACATTACAGTTTTCTCTGATTTTTGTCTTGACTATCCAAATTTCCCGAAGAATGTTTGTGTCGGTCGAGATCATAAGTGGGTGCAGAATTCTCAAGCCTTATGGCCTTACTGAGGTTACCTCAAGCTCCACCCTGAAGGATATTTTGAAATTTTTAAAGGGATCGAAGCGTCATCTGCAACATCATCCGACATTTAAAGGGAAAAAAAGTAGGGAGAAAAATTAAAAACCCTGTGTTGCCGCACCACTTTTGGGGCAAGCTCCATACCAGAAACTGGAGACTTTTTTGGCCTGATGGTACTTTCTGCTTATTTTTACAAGCCTTACCTCCACCCTGCAGCCAGCCATTAGGGACTATCCTGTGGATCAAGCTGTCCTGGTAGTGATATTTCATGAGTGATTCGTCAGTCTTGTGGCCCTTTTCGCCGGTGCAGAGTGCCCTGAAGTTCTCGCAGGTCCTGGGGCATTTGTCTGTGTACAACTGTTTGAATAAATAAAGACTTGTTACTCCCAATGAGCAGTTTTGTTAAAACGATTAATAGCCAACTAGCCAAAGCATTTCAGTTCTTTTGACATTCTACCAAAAAAGAAATTTCAAATTAATGGAATCCTATGTTTTATGCACTGTCCAACCTTCTCGAAGTAATAGACTGATCATTATGCCCCATCCAATGGTATTAAGGCATGCGTTCATATGAATTCAACATGGGATCATATGGGTTTATAGAACACCTGATTTAATCCCTGTCATCTGATTGGTGGATCGTTGATCACATGTCACTGAATTATTCATCTCACGGCCGCACCACAAAAATAGAAGTTCTATTGCACGGTGAATAGAACTTCCATTGCACGGTTTCATTTCTGCGGTGGTGGCGCTGTAACACGAATCTGATTCACAGAAAGGAAAATTGGCGGACGGCATGCGAGAATGTCCATTTTGTTCTCCTAACAGAAATATCGCAAATAAGATATGCTGCCAAACGATTGGATGCATTTGAATTTGGTAGTTCTGAACTTGTCAAGGACATTTAAAAAAAAATCGGATATGAAAGTTCTGAACTTAGTTGTGGAATAGTTTTTAACCGAGATAAATTGAATATGCCGGCTAGTTCTCAACTTGTCAAACATTGGAAGTGATCGGATATTGGAAGTGAACCACCAGTTAGTGCCATCTGAAAAAGTAGAACTTTGATGTAAGTACCAGTTCACAAGTCAACCAATCAGATGACAAGGATTTATTCAGGTGTTATATAAAACAAATAATGAGTGTTTCACGCTCGTGCAATGGAAAGAATAATTTCATTCGGTGACGGGAATGGAACGTCCGTCCGTCACCGAATGAAATTATTCTTACCATTGCACTCACAAACATTCATTATTTGTATAATATGATATGTGGCTGGAACATTGTCGAGGCGTTGGAGAGGTGCACGTGTTGTTGCCCACGTGCGCAGTGGATGGGGTCAAATGGATAGGTTTACTGAGAATGCAAACAATTCAAATATTTAGGCCTTACCTCAAAGAGTAACCTCTGCTTTGGCTCTTCATTGATAGAAACATCCAGGTACACAAACGTATGCTGAAGGAAAATACAACACAAGTTGAACAACTGAAAATTATTTGCCAAAGGATGGATACTTTGTTCCTAAATCTACATCATGGTCGTCCATTTTTGTTCAATAGTATCTGTGCCGTATTTGCGTATTATTTCTTACAGATCAAGCAATCCTATAGTCTGAGTATCACCCATTGTCCACGGAGCCTGCCTCTGGTCCAACGTCTGATATATCTAACGCTGAACGCTCTTTTATTTAGACCGAATCGAGTTAAACTCAAAGATAAAACGGCAACTTAAACCCCCTCGGAGGGAGGGTTTAGCGAATAACCAGAACGAGTTTATCTCCTAGTACGATGTCTGAACGGTTTTAGCTAAAACGCTGCCCGTTTTTGCCAGCACAGTGACCCGGAGTTACGTAACGCTTTCTCCGTGGTGCGCTTTTCTATTAAGCAAACAATGTCCTATTTCTCCTACCGTTAAAAATTTCAAGGCCGATTTCCGCAAGTTTTCTGCCCACATGGTCCGACTTTCACATCGTGCTCACTCGACTCGCACGCACGATGCGATGACAAACATGTAGATGCCAACGTAACAACCGCTAACCGGAGCATAATTATCATAATACACGTACTAATATATTCACTAATATAAAGTTCAATTATTTGAACTCTGTAGCAACATTGCCAGTGTCCTCCGGCAACTAGTCGCTGGTGTTTCAGTGACAACTATAAACCGCGAGTAAGATGATCTTGCGTCAATTTTTCGGACTATAAACCAGCCTTTACAGTTACAAAGTTTTGACGTCACAATGTACGGACAGTTGTTTCAAAAGAGCAAAAAGAAAATCATAGTTGAATTGTCTTTACCCCAGTGGCATTGAGGTAATCTTTGTAAGCCACCTCTGCATGGGCCTCATAGAGGTCCTGTGGCCAACATGGCTGATACTTCCAATGCTCTGTGGCCCAGTTCTCCAGGTCCGTTGGCCCACCTACATCAAAACACAAACAGATGTCAAGAGTTGTATTTGATTTCTCAAAACCTGACACTGAATCCCCGATGTTGAGTTCAAGCCTGAGTTACATCGATCATGTACAGGGCGAGTAAAAATAAGCGCAACCCGAACCCCAAAAATTATATTTCATATTTAAAAAAACATGTAACACCAAAAACAATAATGACTGGAAAGCCCGGTTTCATAAGCTACTATTACTTGTATTAGATGAAAAAAATTACTGAAATTGCTCAATCTGTTCAAAGAATATATCACCATTAAAACGCAATGACCCTAAAACCTGTTTAGTCAAAAAAAGAATACTTGTTTCAACAACTGTCAACAACTGTAGTACACAATATCTTTATTAACAACCCTGGTTGCAAACAATATGATTTTATATAATCCACTTTTTTTCAAAAAAGATGGGCCTTCAAAAGGACTTTGTTGAATATTTTTAACTTTCAAACTGAGATTTTATTGCTGATGATGTTTGAAGACAATTGTGGCGACGATTCTTGATATCGCATTTTTGGACAAAAGAGGTTTTAGGGTCATTGTGTTTAAATGGTGATATTCTTTGAACAGATTGATCAATTTCAGTAATTTTTCATCTAAAAGTAGCTTATGAAATTGGCTTTCCAGTCATTAATATTGTTGGTGCTACATATTTTTTAAATATGAAATATAATTTCTGGGGTTTGGGTTCCGCTTTTTTTGACTCACCCTGTAAGAGTCAGGGGAGACAAAAGGTCAAGTTTGAGTAACAAGTTATGTCTCCCCACTAGAAAAGGTCACGCCATCAGTAACAGTTATTTAAATTTCTGAAGCATCTTGTTTTTTTTTGTTTACATGTCAGAAGGCCACTTTGCTTACAACTGAATATTAATTCTCAGGAAATGGACAATTTTCAGGTTGGGTGTAGCGTTTACCAATGAGATCTCCATCTAGGTAAGCGACAGCCTTGTCTTCAAACGCCCAGGTCTCGCCTCGCAGTTTCTTCCTCTCCTCACGTAGATACATCTCCCATTCAAACTCCAGAAGGCCCTGGATGTCTGGTGTGGCAAACTTCTCTGGGTTGCTCTGATACAGATCCTATCATGGAGTAATCATTGGATATTATACAACAGTGCTTCCCATAGTATCCCATCATTTCAACAATTGGACCGTCACTTCTTTTTTATAACGGTAAAAAATAGAAAATGTATAAATGAATGTTTGTGTCAAGTTAAAAAGAAAAACTAACAGTAACAAAAGGAAAAGTAAAAAGGTAAAAATATAACAATCACATTAATTCAAATGGATACAATCAATATTTTAAAAAGAAATAGGAATTCGGCCTAGAAGGATTTCCATTAAATAGGCGTAGGCTAAAATTGTTGTAGGGCCTAGGGTAGTCCGAGTAACTAGGACTCTATAGATCGCTTTTTTAACATTTGGACTTGGTCGGGCGATGGTAGAGTCCAAGATCGATGGCCCTATATTGCGGCTACTAATTTTTTTGACCATTTTCACTCGTACCCCAAATCAAAATCTTCAGATTTTACCCCCCAAACTGTCTTCAAACTGCCTTATGCGCCCCTGTAGGCTTCAGTGGGAAGTGAAAATACAAATGGTGGTGGTTAGGTTTACATACCTTGGGGAAGAAAAGAGAAATTTCACCTTCAATTCGGAAACCAAGCTTTGTCGAGCTGGTAGTTTGAAGACCGTTTTGGGGGTAAAATCTGAAGATTTTGATTTGGGGTACGAGTGAAAATGGTCAAAAAAATTAGTAGCCGCAATATAGGGCCATCGATCTCGGACTCTACCATCGCCCGACCATGTCCAAATGTTTAAAAAGTGATCTGTAGAGTCCTAGTTACTCGAACTAGGCCTATAGGCAGGGTAGGATTTGATTTAAGTCAATAAATGGGAGAAAAGAAAAATATCTTTCGGGAAAATTAAATAAAACGTTCTCTTCATGAAGGATTTAACTCAGGACCTAGACTACGTATTGCACGTGTAATCTATTGAGCTCCTGAATTGCTCCGTTTCACCTTTTTATATCTTGCAATTCCATTGGAGTGATGCAAAACTTCACGTCAAAATACATGAAATAGCCACTTCACTCAGAAACTAGTGTTTGCATTTTAGTTTCAGGTTGAATGCAAGATAGAAACATAGGCCTCTATACCCGCAAATAATGTTATGTTCAACAGTTTTACTTTTAAGCACAGCATTTGCAGTTTGTAGACCCCACTGTCTTTACATTAATTGATCGCAGTGGCTATCGTTACGGCAGCCGTAACGCATTTCCCATTTTCTATCGTTACGGTAGACTGCAACTTTTATAAAAACATGACAAGAAAATATAAAATTAGAAGGAAAAAAGTGAATTTGAAAGTTATGAAATTCGGACTTTATTTCCCTTTTAAAAAAACGAAGTGGCTATCGTTACGGCACTCGTTGTTTAGCGCCCTCTACGATATTTTTTTGATACGCACGCGGGTATATAATTATTTGTTTCCCCACGTTTTGTTGAGCAGTTCGCCAGCTCAGCCGATAGAGGGTAGGATTTTGCACCGCGAGGTTGCGGGTTCGAATCTCAGTTTTGCACTCGATTTTTTTTCCTTTTCTAACCTGAGGCTTTGGAGAATTTTTTTTAAAAGGGAAATAAAGTCCGAATTTCATAAAGTTCAAATTCACTTTTTTCCTTCTAATTTTATATTTTCTTGTCATGTTTTTTTATAAAAGTTGCCAGGTTGCAGTCTACCGTAACGATGGAAAATGGGAAATGCGTTACGGCTGCCGTAACAATAGCCACTGCGTTAAAAAAAATCCTCTAAAGCTTCAGGTTAGAAAAGGAAAAAAATTCGAGTGCAAAATTGAGTCAAGATGCGAACCCGCAACCTCGCGGTGCAAAATCCTACCATCTATCGACTGAGCTGTCGCACTGCTCGCTAAAACGTGGGGAAACAAATAATTATATACCTGCGTGCGTATCAAAAAAGTATCGTAGAGGGCGCTAAACAACGGCTGCCGTAACGATAGCCACTTCGTTAATTGATTCAACACTGTGTAACACTGTGAGTGTCACTTTAACTCGCTGACCACACACGCTGAGTGACATTAATTAATTAACGTTAATCGGCGGGGTCCTAAACTCCACAATCACCCGGATTTTAATAATTTAGTGAAACCATTTGACGAGTATATTGTTGCTAATGAAAGCCGAGCTAACGATGAACAATTCTGAACTAACCTGGGCGCATGCTCTGGCCTGATTGAAGCTGGGATCGGGCACCAATCCCACCACACGGAGTTGAAGTTGCTTGGAGGTCGCCATTTTGAGATTCGTCTGGTTTCAGACAGCATTGCACGTAACGTTATGGAACGCAACTTGGGACAAAGCGCGGCGGATGCCAGATCATTGAGTTGGTTGCTATGTATACAAACATTAAAGGGAACTGCTGACACAAATAAAAATGATTAAAGGGGTGTGCATGTTCGGCATAAATTTTGCTAGTTTTAAAAATAATCATCAGACGTTTGTTCACCTGAAAATTTCTAAATGTAGATTTAGTATACAACTTTTTCCTATTTTGTGAACATTTCCTTTTTTGGGAGCAATACTGGCATACTTTTACTCATTTTTTTTTTTGGGGGGGGGGGGACTTAATTTTGTGGTGGATTCTAGGGGTCCCAATTTTTGACCCTATTCCTGAAATAGGCAGGCCTATTGTATGTCTGTCTTTATTAAATAGAAAAAAAAGTATGGTGGGGTTGGAGGGGGCTTGTACCAAACTTAATGTCACGTGCATCAGCATTTTGGGAGGTCAAATTTTTGTAACGCACATCGGCTGTGCCATTTTTGAAGAAATGTCGAGCAAAATGCACTCGTGTTTACAAAAATTTGCCCACATGCACACATACTTCTTGTAATTTGCCTACCAAGATGGCCGTCTATGAGAAGGGTCTATAAAGCATGAATATATGTAAATGGTTCCTATTCGCCACCCCCACCAAAAAACAACCCCAAAGCAAGCAGACAGACCAAAACAAAAATGGCAATGCAATACATTAAAGAAAGTACAGCATTTATATTAAAAGCCATTCCCCAACTAATTCAACACAACCATTAAGAGTTCACCAATACTAGAAAAAAAATACAAGTTGTGCAATTCAGACTCAGTGTATCTTTTTTTTCTGTCAAAGTTTATTCGTTCAATGCATGATGTTTTACTGACAACACCCACTGAAGTATTTTTTTTTCAAATTCACAAATCCATGTGAATGCTTATGACTTTAATAAGATCTAGAATTGAACTTTGATTAAAACTGATTTTTTTTCTCGATTCCTCTTATTCCCCAAGCCCCTCCCTTCAAAATAAATAAATCCCTAAGCAGGAAAAAAATAAACAAAACTGAAATAAATTTGACCAAAGCCCTTAAAGTTGGTGTCTACGTGGTTTTTCAAAATTTAGATTTTCTTTTCCCAACGAAATTTAAAGGACTATAATGCCCTGTAACAAATAAATTTGCTTGTTTGTTTTTGCAGCCCGTATACAGTTTTAAAAATTGGTTTTGAAATGGTGCGGCCCAGTTCAGATATTGCGCACATGTAACAAATTAGGAGCGTCCCGTTCTTAATTCAAAAGTTGAAATGAATTAATTGATTACTTGTCATAGGCCGATTTTTCCTGTGGTGTCTCGATGTCTCATAACTGTTGTAATGCTAGAAAATTATCTTACTATAATTCCAGGAATCTCTGTCTGTCTGTCTGTCCGTCGATTATCTCCAGAACCGGGCACCGTATGAAATTGAAAATCGGCGGGTATATTTTTTCGGGACAACAGAATGTGCAGTGCAAAGTTTGAAGTTGTTTGGACCAGCGGTTCTCGAAAAAGCTGCAAAAAGCAGTATTTTCTGAGGCAAACGTGGCAGTATATAGCTTAGAACATAACACCCGCACGCACTGCCGTTCTTTTCAATTGTTTACATCATGTTTAAGCTAAAGCGCGCGTGCTCAATATGACGCAAACAATGCAAAAAGGACGGGCACGCGCACGTGCATTGCAGGGCGATACACTGTCCAGTGTGGGTGAATACTAATGGATCAATGGTTGGATAGCACTGCATACCATGTTTTCGTATGTACACGGGCACATTATTTTTGCAGTCGACTGAGCGACCATTGTAGGTGGTCGAACTTCAAACTTGGCAAAAATTGTGACGTAAGTGTGCATTCAACCTGTGAAAACAACACCATTGAATCGCGTGCGTTGTTTGCACGAGCAGTTCTCCAAAACTCTGCAAGTATGCAACCTATACCAGCGGCAAAGCAATTTGCGTTTCCCGAACATGCACATTTTAGACGGGCACTGCACTAGTCAATTCAATTTGAAAATCTATTTTTCAAGGTGCCACATCAAAAAAGCACGTACACACCAACTTTAAAGCTCTTGTACTATAAATTTTTATATTACAGGTTAACATCCCCCTCTTTTCATTTAAAAAAAAATTAATTATTTTTGCAGAAAATAGAATGTCCGATTCTATAATAGTGACCATTTATAGAGGGCTGAGCATTCTTGTTCATTTGAACTTGCCTGTGTCATAAATTAAAGCAAATGGGCTTATAAGGTTCTTTGAAATGCTTAAACAAAATTAAATAAAATCACAAATATCCTTATAGGTAGAGTACCGATACATCATTTGTCATTTGTGCGTTTTTGTCGTTTGAAGCAACAACAGAGCTCATAATCTGAAGAAGGGTGCTGAACAACTAACCTGATGAAGTTTCAGCTCAGTGAATGCCGTATATTCTGAGAAAACAATATTCTAGGATCTTGATTTCAATTCAAAAGTGGCAGATTCGTGTTTTGAATTGTACCGAAATCAGCATCCGGGACACATTCTTATTCAGCCAATTGCAGCTACGTGATGTCATGCATTAAAACAACGATTTATAGCAACCGTGCGCACTTGCAAAGCTTGCGCACACCCATCACGGCTCTGCCAAATTAAAAACAAACTACTGATGGAAATTTCCAAAAATGCTTCATAGACGCATCTTTGGAAATGATCTTGTTTTACTGTTTTCTTCAAAATGACTGCATGCCAGAAAAATAATTTCACAGGGAGTTTAGTGCCATTACTATCTTTAAACCAAGTATGTTTTCCAGCAATCATTTTGTTACTTACTTTTTGGATAGCTTCAAAAGATAAACTGTACCTTTAAGATTCATTTCTAAGGACCAACAGCCAACTTCAAGAAGCTACAAAAGTGTTATGTCCTGCTTAATGTAACCACATCATTTCAAAGCTGCATCTTGTACAGGGATGTACATTTCTACTGTTGCACTGTTTTTTTCCCCAAGTAAATCCTGTCATTCAACTTAGCATATTCTTTTTTATGCTTACAATTGCAGTATGTGTGAAATGGACAGTGGTTCTGTCGGCAGAAAAAAAACCCCCACAACTTTTTGTTTTGTATACATTATGAAATTGGTTTAAATGCAAAATCACATGTAGGCCTATCGAACATTCCAGACTCTATAGAAATTTGTGTGGATGCTTAAAGGCTACGTTTCAACTGCAGCATTTGCATTTTTCTTCGCAAGTGCAATCTCTTTCACATCGGGCAGCAGGAGTTCGAGCTGCGTTGCGACGTCTGACAATGCCTCCTCTGCTTTATTTCCATCCATTGTGGGACTCTTGTTGTCCGAAGGCTGGTCTCGGTCTCGGCTCAGACCCAGGTGTTTCTGGACCAGGCCCTGGTATCGCAGCAGCAAGGAGTAGTTTGTGGAAGCCAGGTGGGTTTGTAAGAAGGAGATGAGTTGAGGGACAAGCCTGAGAAATTAATCAAATATCAAACACACATCAGTTATAATAAGAACGAATACAGAAATATGGTGGAGTGTCATGGCCGAGTGGTTAAGAGCACCGGACTCAAGCTCTAGTGTTTCTGATTAGCAGAGTGTGGGTTCGAGTCCCACTCATGCAGGGTTCGACCTTAACTTTTTTGTTCACTAGCCAGCCGGGCTACTGAACAGGACTCTTAACTAGCCCGCGGGCATTTTCACTAGCCCGCATTGTTTTTCTTATCTCAAATACAAAATGGCGTATTTTCAGGCTCAATTCGGAGGCAATTTTGTCCGTGTTTTTAATAAACAGATCTTATAATTTAACCTCTTAAAACAGTTGATAAAATCAGACACAAATTGATGGGGTTTTCTTTCTGAATTTAGTGATTTATTTCTTCCTGTACGTTCATCTTTGCCGTATCCCAATAATTGTTCACTCGCCAGCCGGGTTACTTAAGAAAAAGTTTGACTAGCCCACCGCTGTTTTGACTAGCATTTGCTAGCTGGCTACCGCTAATTTCGAACCCTGACTCATGACACTTGTGTCCTTAAGCAAGACACCTAACCATTACCGCTTCGTCCTTTGGATGAGACGTAAAGCAGAAGGTCCCGTGCGTTGTATAATGCACGTAAATGAACCTAGTAAAACTTATCGCTAAGAGAAGAGGTTCACCCTGGTTTTTCTGGCAGTGCGTTTCTCTTCATACATATGAGGCTGCACTGTCAAGGTAGAAAGGAAGATTCGTATCTGTGATCACCACCAGAGTAATTGGATGGTGCTCTATAAACTCAGTTCCATCTCTGTGACAGCTACATGCAGTTTGATATGATAAATGGTTTTCACTCAGTCTTTGGCTGATGAGAAACCATTAAAAAACAACCCCAAAACAGTAGCCAAATGGATGCACTGGTCTAGGCAGATCCACTGTCTAGCCTGAACCTAGCCTTGGCCACACTTACTTGCCCGGTGCATGTAGCATACACTGTGTGCTATTCTGGAAGGCAAGTACTGCGGCTAGGTGTAGGGCCATAGCTGGGTCTGTCTCATTCTGGAGTTGTTCACGTAAGGCTTGACGATGGTTGAAAACTAACTGTCTGTAAGGGGTTCAAAAATAAGGGGGAAAAGGTTGAAAAAAAATTAATCTTACATCAGGGACCTAGTTATGCCACTACAGGGCGGTGCAAAAAGAAGGAAACCCACTTTTGACAGCAATTTCCACCTAATTGTTGAGCGTATTTCAAAAATTCAATTTAATGGTATTAAAATATAGATCTTTAAACATCAGTGACGAAAAAATTATTGCAAATGCATGTTTTGTCTCTGAGATATGGTAGTTTAAAAATTTCATGTGCCAAACCTGTTTTTCCATGGACGGCTTTATTATTCCATCCACTTGACTGAGCTCCGGAGCTTGATTTGACGACAAAAAACACTACACTAGACTTACACGTGGACAACAGTGATTTTGGTGACTTGTATGCAAATTATCACATTAACACTATTCTTGCGATTTTGTTAAAGTTTTTTTTCCACTACGTATGGTTGAAGAGCTACATTATAAAAATTCCTGTCAAAAGTGGGTTTCCTTCTTTTTGCATCACCCTGTAGCTTTGAACTGAAAACCTGTGGCGTCTTCATTTTAAGATAACCTAAGTGAAAATGGATATCTTAAAGGGCATGTCACAAATTTTACACTGGAACCTATTTCAGCAAATATCTATCCATGAAATGTATGCAACCTACAAGAAACCTCTTTTTAGTTAACTTATTTTTGTTAAGTGCCCTTTTTGAATATTTAAAATGTTCCATGCTTTTCCTGACAACTGATGGCGCTGTTGCTTGGAATGTCACTCTAGGAAGACATTTTTCATCTGAGGGGTTTTCTGTTCAAAGTTTAAATCCCAAATTTTGCCCACTGAAAAAAACTTAGCATGAACCTTGCTCTCTGATTGACTGAAACAACAGAGATTCACAAAAGAAGAAGAAAATTTACCATGACAAGAACCCCAAAATTCTTGCAACTTTTGATGCTCTACTTTTGATATTGAAGTTTCAGCCTAGAAGGACATCACCGTTTTGCTCATGAATAAGGACACTTTCGTTAGAATAAAAACCAAAAAATGCATCAACACACCCTAGAAAATGGCAATACGAAGATTGAAAATAAACTTGGGACCCACCCTTTAACCACTTCGCATTGGAGGATGTGATAACACGTACTGGCTGTTTTTATACACAGGCACAGCTGACAGGTTAAGACGTCAAGATTGCCTCGAATCAGCTCCGGGTGACGTCTAAAAAAGCTAATCCCTCGTGCCTTTTGCACACACACAAAGTCTGTGAAGTTTGTTTTGAGGCCTATTATTGTACAATTATGCTCCAGTGCACACCCCAGAGTATTAAAACATACAAGGTTTCGGCAAGAAATATCGTACAAATACTGTTGAAATTACTCTTGCGAATCAGTATTTGTGGCATTTGGCTGTATATCAGAAGGTGGCTGGAAAATTGTGCCTTCTGCAAAAATCAAAATTTTTGGCAAAAATAATCCCGACCCGAAGTGGTTAAAGAACGGGGCCGAAGTGCATGGTAACATGTGGCATTATCACTACAGAGGGAATAGTCATACACGGAGCCCTTAGTGGCCTTTCCAACGACACCCTTTTCAGAAGACTCACCTTTCTTTTTTCTTGTCCAGTTTCTTGAGCATGATGTCGCATTTATTGGATTCACACGCCCGCTCCAAACTGGACAGGAATTCCCCAAGATCCTGTGAAAAAATATTGCAAAAAGTAATATTCAAGTTTTAGAGGTAGAGTAAATCATTTGTCATCTGTGCGTTTTTGTCGTTTGGAGCAACAAAAGTGCTCCTAATCTAAAGAAGGGTGCTTAACAACTAACCTGATGAACTTTTAGCTCAGTGAATGCTCTATATTCAAAGAAAACAATATTTTAGGATTTCAATTTCAATTCAAAAGTTGCTGCGTCATGTTTCGAATTGCGCCTAAAGTCAGCATGCGGGACACGTTTTCATTCAGCCGATTGCAGCTACTACGCAATGTCATGCACTGAACCGACGAATTGTAGCAACCGCGTGTGCGTTGTGTCAATGCTTGCGCGCACCCATTCACGGCTTTGCCGAATTAAAAACGAAATACTAACGGAAATTTCCAAATATGCGTCTTTAGACGCATTTTTGGAAATGACCTACTTTTAATGTTTCCTCAAAAGGGCCTGTCACATTACATGCGCTCTCATAGGAGACCTTACGGCGACCATTTTTTTTCTCATAAATTTAACAATCGCAGTGAGGACGCAATAAAATGACAACTTTCTGTCTCAAAGAAGCTCAAGCTACGCTCATACTGTGCTCTTCCCGCGCTTACGATGCGTTCAACTCGCTCTCTATGCGCCCCTGTCAAGCTCAATTACTCGATCTAGTCGCTGCCGCTGCTCTGTCACTGCGCTCACACTACGCTCTGCTCGCTGTTGATACGTCCTAGTAGCATGCGTTATGCTCTCTATTCGACCAAAATACGCTCATGTGACGTCACTTGCACTGTATAAATACCACGACAAAACGGTCAATACAAAGTCCAGTTTAAAAAAATCATTCTACAAGTTCATCGCAGTCGAGTTACTTTCTCATGAAGACTACGTCGACTGCCTTGCGCCTAAGCTGCCTCAATGCCATTTCAATGTCGCACAATTCACGCTCGCACAGCGCCCGAGTTGCGTCATTACGGCACCCTGGCCAGAGCGCAGAGGTGTTGCGATTGTTTTGAGCATGTTCAAAGACCTTTACGCTCATCGGAGACCATTAAGACCCTCTGGCGCCCATCTGGCGCCCATCTGGCGACCTATGTAGTTGTCGCTGCAATCTAGTAGTTGTTGTTGCGCCCCAGCTATTTTTCAAGGACGCAGTGAGAGCGCATAAGATCGCAGACAGTGTGACAGGGCCTTAAAATGACAGCATGCCAGAAAGAAAAATTTCACAGGGAGTTTAGTGCCATTACTATCTTAAAACCAAGTATGCTTTTCAACAATAATTTTGTCAGTTACTTTTTGGATAGCTGCAAATGATATACTCTACCTTTGACATCTGAGTAAAAGGCAAATGGTATCAGGATGGTAAAATGGCTTAACACAAAGTGAAGATACAAGTTTTCTTGAAGATAATCTTTATTTGTCGATTTGCTTGCATGAATCACAGAAGACGTACAGTGCTTCAAATCCTTTTTTTCATGAATTCTCTCCATACGTACCTTGCCATTCAAACTGCTGTGTAGCTTAGTGAGTGGTGTCCGTAACTCATCTTTCAGTTTCACAAGTATCCCTGCCCGGGTCTGGAATTTAAAAGACAAAACTGATTCTAAATACTAGCAAAAAAAGATTGGTGAAATCAAAACTCCTTCAAAATACTGTCAATTCTCCAGTAAAGGCTAAAATACTTCTCTTTGAAAACTCGCTAGTCTCTTGCACAAGGAAAGTATGTCATTTTTACATTTTTATTACCTATACGGTTTATAGATATAGAAAACAAACACAATAAGTTCTGGGACAATGTTGAATTCTTAAGATATAAGGATTTTGGTATATTTCGGTGTTTCAATAATTTTTCAAGACTTGCCAGTCCCTTTAGACATAGAGACACTTTGTACATGGCTCTCAGTGTTGTTGTGGAGCCACTTTTATTGGGGTGAGTCCAAGTTAAGCCGTGTCCGCACTGGACTTTTTACCGAGATGATGGTAAACTGAAAAATGGTCAAATGTGACCACTGTCCGCACTTGGACTTTGGACACGGGAAATTTTACCCAGACCGCGTGGTAGAAGTGACCGAGCTGTCAGTATAATGCTCACGCAGGAAATAAAATGCCGATCATTTTTTCATCCCCCGATACGCACAGTATAATATTACACACGCCATTAAAATGCACAATATAATCGTTACATACGATATTATTCCATCGGTAATCGCTGGTTCCCACCGCATGCTTACCGATATCAAAGCTATGATGTAGGACCGGAACCAGTGACTGTGGCCTACGTACGGTGCCATACAGACCACACGGCGTATAAACAAGACGAATTTGGATCGTAGAAAATACCAAACAAACATCGGTGGAGAAAAAGAATAACTGCAAAGTAATTCCCCAGAACGTGATCTTGATCTTTTCTGTGTATGTATTTGCCGTTAAAATATATTTAGAACAACATTTTACCGCTCGGACTTGACACAGCGCAGAGAACGTGTTTCCACAACATGTTCGGCCACATCACGTGTGGGATTTTTGTGGGGCCGCTTTTACTGACTCGCACTGTCCGCACTGGACTTATCGTCTCGGGAAAAGTGACCTGGTCAGTTTTCCTGGGCACTCGGTCAGTTTTACCTGGGCAGCAGTTGGCGAGTAGAAGTAACCGCTGGACTCAGGAAAAGTAACTGAGAGGAAAACGTCCTAGGCTGTCCGCACTGGATTTAAAATGGGAAAAGTACCCATAGTTTCGGTAAGTTTGACCAAAAAAAGTCCAGTGCGGACAGGGCTTAAGAGTCTCGAGTAATTTGGTTCAAGTCCGAGTCACACATGCCTGTATGATGCTCTGTGACAAGAAATAGAGATCTAGGAGTGCACTTAATAACAAACATCATTATTTGCCACACCACCTGGAGGGTGGTGCATTACGGTTCGTGTTCTTTTGCGTTGCTTTAACGATACTTTTGGAAAATAACCATCGGAATTATGTTTTTAACCCCTTGATGCCGGTATTGTTCGGCCACGGACAGCTGCACATTGGGTGGAATGTGTACGTGCAGGCATTCAGCCGTTGTCTATGAATGGATGTGCTATGCAGCAGGAATGCTGCAATAGCAGTCCCCAAGCTTACCGGCTTTTATCGAGCAGCGTCTAGAGCCAACAGCTGGCATTAAGGGGTTAAAAGGTAATTTTGGGGTAAAGGAGTCATTAGCGTCAACTTCGAGTCCTGATGGTCATGGTCGAGTCCGAGTCTGAGTCTGAGTCCTGAGTCTGTCTCTTTTGCCAATGTGACTCGTGTGGAGTCACAGAAATTGCAACTCTAGATGGACTCGAGTCTGACTCCTAGACTCCAGTCCTACAACACTGTTGGCCCTGGACATTAGGACTGGCAAGCTTTGTGATATTTTACTGATGTCGTCACATATTATAAGAAAGATTTTTTTTGTTGACCGGCTACTGCATCATGTTTTTTCCTGTCCCAAGTCTCCATACATTACTGAAACACAAAAAAAATACTCCAGTGACATCACAGTTTCAGAACCATTTGTACCACTTTTTCTTATTTCAATTGCTGTAAACCTTTAAAAACCAAAATATCAGCCTCACTTCAAATTAAATCTCCTGTAGCATACCTCAACGTTGAGTGTTGTCGGGTCGACTTCCGACATCAAATTCTCGCTGGTGACAGCACTAAGCAGCAGATTTGTGATATCCGTGCACAGCGTTCTTATAAGGTATTTGGACAATTGATTCTCTAAATCTTCATCTGTTAAGGAAAGATTCGATTGAAACATGTAATTCCTGAAATTATTTAATTCTGGTTTCTCAACACAATGACTGCCTAACTTGACCAGATAAGGGCGCTTTTTGTTTCTTTTTCTCTGTTCTAGAGATGAGGGCGAAAGATTGTTGATAGAAGGAAAGTACATTGCAACTTGGGGACAATTGGATTTCAAGTAAAACTGCACAAAACGAAAGTCCACACTCATTGGAGGGGTCATTATTTTGAATCTGATCGTCTTATGATGAAGTACTTTACATAGACCATTGGGGAATTTTGTAAGATTCATTTCGATACCCTGCTTGCTACTGAAGACTTTAAATAGTCCAAGATTGACAACGATGATTGACAAAAATGATGCACTTGGAAAAATTGCAAAACTTTAAGGATTACGTGAGTGGAAAATGCGGCGTGACGATGTTACACTGCCCAGAATGAACGCCAGGGAATACCGATGGCACAGTGCTTGTATGCATGGGAGCGCATACGCGGGCTATATGAATGACCTGCACTTTGTTCAGGCACTGTGCAATTGATAGGGGCCAATTATAGGCATGTGTGTTTGGTTACGCTGAGCGATTTCTCCTCGCGTACTCTTTAAATTTGCAACTTTTCAAACTGCATCATTTTTCATAAACCGTTGCCAATCTTGGATGATTTACAGTTCTTGGTAGCAAACATGGTATCAATTGTAACTAACAAAATTCCCCAAAGGTCTATATAAAGGACATTATCATAACACGATCAGATTCAAAATTATGACCCCACCAATGAGTGGGACTTTCTATTTAAATTATGAAAAGTTGACTAAATTATGACTTCTTTATTAAGACCTCTCGCCTTCTACACTTGTAAATGCACAGTGGTAGATAAAACACATCACAGAATTGAGCCTGATGTCTTCATTGAACTCTTACAATGTGGAGATAACATACATTATTCTTTAGAAACATTTTTTTAGTAAAATTCTCATCTGAATTTTGACACAGAAGAAGCATTGAACATTTTTTCTTTGCACAGCACACTGCATGCACTTTTGTCACAATTTGCAGGCTACATTTGGATACTGTAGTTATTAAGCTGTAAAATATTTCAGCTTTAAATCTCACAAAGCATATGCACTATTGAAAACGATACATCAATGCTGCAGGCACACCATTTTACTCTTTACAAAGTTATAGTTTGAAACATGAAGAAATGTACATGCTCAGGCACTTTCACATATGGAATTGTTCAACATGACACAAAAGAAGCATGCGTGCGGTTTAATGGATGGTGAAACCAAAATGAAAATGAACTTGAATGACCATTATGAAACAAAATAAAATGAGCAAACCTTTCATCTTTTTGTTATGCAGAGCATAAGCAAACATAGCACCTTGATCCAAACTTGCCACGGCCATTTAGTTTTCAAAACACCAAGGCCAGCCACTTCAAAACAAAGAACAGAATAAACGTAACTTTTTGCAAAATAAAAACAAGAAGCAAGCGATATACCAACTCACCCCTACCTAGAAACTGTCTGACTCCTTTGTCAAACAGTCGGACGTTGTTGAGGAGGCCGTTGATCTTATCTTGTATCTCGCCCCGGTTCTTGCGTCGTGTGGAGCTGTCTGAGGATCCGGTCGCTGACATGAAGACGGACTTGGCAATGTCTTGGTAGGCTCTGTGAAGAGGCCTGTTGATTGGAACAGAGATTTTGAACTTAACCTGTGTGCTACAACTTATCTAGTGAGCCGAAACCTCATATGTTTTAATATTCACAACGGCCAAATTCAAGATCAACACACGGTTCGCCTCCACAGACTTCACGGATGTTGTGTGTGTGTACAAAAAACACAATGGATTAGTGTGTTTAGACATCACCTGGAGGTGACTCGAGGTTATCTTGACGTTTTATCCCGTCAGCCGTGCCTGTGTACAAAAACACCCAGTGCGTGTTATCACGTCTTCCGATGCCAACTGGTTAAAGAAAAGCTGACAACTCTTTGCTGACAATCAGATGACTATTTACTGTCCAAGGAGTCAATACAAAATACAGTCACTGTATTGTGCTATAAATACGTTTCCTATGCACTGCAGTTATGACAAGTTTTATGAAATGGTTCGCAAGACGCATCACAGCTACAATGCGTCACAGGTATAAGAGTGCAGTGACACATAGTTATAGGCCTTTATCATGCTGCCCCCATTTCAGTCATGTTCCCTGTGTCCAATAACAGAACTGGTGATAATGTTTTTTGTGCAAAAAGGAACCAGACTATATTTCCTTCCAGCCTCGATTTGGCTATGTTGATTTGAATCAGAAAAAATCAAGATGGGCTCCACATGACAAGGCCGGATCCAGAACACCTTTTTTTGGGGGGGGGGGGGACCAAAAAAATTTGCTCCCCAAAAAGTGGGTCCAAAAAAATTAGGGCATTTGTTTGAATTCTAGATGCTCTGTGGTGCGATCTGAGGCAGTTTCTGATCACTTTTCCAATTTTTTTTTTAGGAAAAGATGGTAGTGTATCCAGTGCCTGCCTTTATTGCAACGTCACTTAAAAACAAAAAATTTGGTATTTTTTTTGGGGGGGGGGGGAGTGGGCAAACATGATAATAGTCTATTGTCGATATGTTTCATGAAATGGGGTGAAGGGGTCTCTATTCAAGGAATGACACATCTTAGTCCAATCGATGATACCTGTATAGGTCTTCAGCCAGCTCAGAGTGAAGTTCCTCAGGGCAATCCGGCAGCGACTTGCTCAGGACGTCTTCAATCTCCTCGACTGACATGAATGGAAGCTCATCTGACTGGTGCCCACGGGACGCTGGTTCCCACAACACGAAAGATAGAAAACGAAGTTTGAAACTTTCAACCAACACGTACTGACAGAGGTTTCGTAAGAAAACAGAAACAGATGTTTTGTGGTTTTGTGCAATGAGACACAACTTGCTATGTACGCGTGTACTGAAAGAGGATGAATTGCTGAACATGTACAGGTGGGTGCAGACATCCGGGAACTTTTCACATTGGATTATCTAGCCCCCAGACCCATTTTCTTGAAACAATGTAGTACAGGTGCTAAAGGGTTTATGCTGTCATGCTGAATGAGAGACACTAATTTAAATAACAAGGAGGGGGTTTTGCAAGGAAGCTTTTGATTGGTCAATCAAGAAGAATGACGTCACACCTGATATGTCTTCCTCCTCTTTATCATCCACATCTCTCCCTCGGTTCTTCTTCACCTTCTTGGTTTTGACCTCTCTAGAGATTCCTTGACCGCCTCCCTTATTGCCGCTGCTCCCGCCCCCAGCTGTAATAACAAAAGATAAATTAACATATTAAACAATGCTGCACAGCCAAACCTCTAAGTTTCTGGGGAATGGACCATTCCAGAAGCCCCGCACACCATGCAAGAGTGCACATACAGGTGAGTAAAAAAACCAACGAAACCCAAATGTCGGGACCATTGCTGTAGTGAAGTTCTGCATGTAGCACTTTCAAAATCTAGGATATGAAAGCCCAATTCATAAGGTTTCTTTTAGTACAAGAATCATTCAAATCACTCATGTACTTTTCAAGTTATGGAATTTTAAACACAACCATTGTCTTAAAGTTCTGTCCACGGATCACAAGAAGGTAAGTGTTCTTTCAGCAAAACAAAAACAAATCACATAGCAATGTGTGTGAATTGTTTTCGTTCTGCTGGAAGAACACACACCTTTTTTGTGATCCGTGGACAGAACTTTAAGACGGTGGTTGTGTTTAAAATTCTGTAACTTGAAAAGTACATGAGTGATTTGAATGATTCTTGTACTAAAAGATAGCTTATGAATTGGGCTTTCATATCCTAGATTTTGAAAGTGCTATATGCAGAACTTCACTAAAACAATAGTCCTGACATTTGGGTTTCGCTTTTTTTGACTCACCCTGTATATCAGACTTTTGAGGAATGTTTCCTTCTGGCATGATTTCATCTCGAAGAAAATAATAATAGGTCATTTCCAAGGATAAGCTAAGTGATACACGTGCGCGATTGCTATTATTTTTTGGTTCAGTGCCTGACATTGCGAAGCTGCAATCGGCTGAATGAGAATATGTTACAGATGTTGATTTCGGGTGCAATTCAAAATCTGACTCAGCAATTTTTGAACTAAAATCGAGATCCCAGAATATTTTTTTTTTTTCTGAATATACAGAATAAACAGAGCTAAAACTTCATTAGGTTTAGTTGTTAAGCACCCGTCTTTAGATTTTGAGCACTTTTGTTGCTTTGAACGAAACAGATGCACAACTGACAAATGATCTACTCTTCCTTTAAATATTGAAACATCAAACCCCCAAAAAGACTATGAAAGTAACAAATTCCATTGATGAATAATAACATCCTCTTCAAAATAAAAAAATCCTTTTCAGAAATACTTGGGGATAAAGTTGTCCAGTTGCAAAGGAAACATTAAAGAGGAGTTTGCCAAATATCTCGTAACAAAATTCTGCCTGAGAACACACAAAAAAGAAAATGAGTGAAAACGAAATCCGTCAACCTACATGCTGCTTTGTTTCTCCTCTCGTCTTTGCGATCTTTCTTGCCCTCAGCTCCCCTGACGGCGGCTACAGCCTTCTTGTCCACTTGTAACAGCAACTGAGGTGCATTTTTGGCATCCTGTTACAGACAAGTCAAAGTAAAGTCTTTTGTAAATGCAACCATTTTAACATTTATTTTCAAAGGGACTTCCAAGTGTTGATCAACTTTCATGTATTCAGATTTTCTAGCAGGCCCTGTAGGACTTATCTGGTGACCACAGTAAGTAAATGATACATAGGTTTCACATTCGAACGGATACGTGTATGCATTCGTTTAGCTATTCTGTTGTTTCACTCTGTGTACGTGTACACCATTAAAGCTTAATTATCAGTAACGTTGGCAACATCCTGTGAAAGCCTCAAGATTGCGGGCATGAGCCTGCTTTAAAACACAAACAAATGAAACACAATGTTCATTATCTTTTATTCATGAAAACCTAAGACAGTTTACCCATTCCTATTGGTCAAGAGCCTGTCACGTGGTCACGGGCGTCAATCCTGGGCGGGACAGGGGGACATGTCCCCCCCCCCCCCCACTTTTTGAAGGATACTCGTACCTGGAAGTACAAGTACTTGTACTCGCAGATGTACAAGTACTCGTACTCGTACTCGACAACCTAAGTACTCGTCACTACTTGGTACTCGACTATAACACTGAAACAAGTCTAATAATTGAGGTTATAGCATGGCAGTGAATAATGTTACTCCCATAGAGCTATATTAAATATTCTATACAGGTGCGTTATAGAAGCCGATAGGCCAAAAACTGAGAGGCATGATCAGCAAATGAGTGTGTCATTTTGCTCTAAGCAAACGTACAGCGCGTGCGCGTATCTGCTGCAGATGCTTTTTGCCGCGACGTTTATTGAACCGTCGTGACGCGCTTAAGTTGTTTGCGTATGTTCTACTCGCGCGTTGCATTTAGAGTACACTTTTAAAATTCAATCTATCTAATTTCATTGTGTTCTACAAAGATGCACATGAATTCAAAATGTCTGCGCCCAGAGCGGCTTAAAGCATCTCCATGCGCAAGAATGAGGAGTTAGCACTCTAGTAATTTAGTATAGCTCTAAGGTTACTCCATAAATCTGACCTTTTCAGCTTTTTGGGTCATGAGCTGATCAAACAGGGTCCTAGATTCCGAGAGGAATGCCTCACTGCAGACGACAGTCTTGCACAGAATCCTGGCCCCGGATTTGCCCCTTCCCTTCATGCATTGCTGCAACAACTGCTGGATATCATCCACAGTAAACGAAGACGGCAGCAAAGGCTGATGGGAAAAAAAAGAAGAAAAATAGTCAATGCTCTATATATAAAAGCACATCTTATATTGCATAATTCCATGTGTCACACTTTTCACGCTAGTTATCAGAGTTGATTTCTTATTGGCTCTTGTGTTGCTCACGGAGCTGAACCCATTAACATCAATACCTGCTATACAGGCACGTTTTTTTTTGGAATTTATTATATTCTATACAGGTGCGTTATAGAAGCTATAACTTATAGAAGTTATAGAATTTATTTTGGGGGGCTAAACAAAATTTTGGGGGGCTAAAGCCCCCCCCCCCGCCCCCCCGTCGAACCGCGCCTGCTGCTATCTTAAAAGGAAAGAAACAGTTTATGTATGTATGTTTGTGTGTGCAGGCCTACATGTACACTGCGTTACGGGGAATTTTTCATTGCAAGGCAAATTAGGACCGATTTATGGCACTTTTTCCCCACTTTTTATGGCAGCGTTTTCGGTTCCCACAAATACCTCGTACAGACGAGTGAATGGCCCCACAACAACACCGCCTTGTCTTCATTAAAGGAGAAGGTCAACGACAATAAAAAACCCTTTCTATTTTTTAATTTAGAAACCGAAGCCTGATTGGGAATGATAAAGCTAATTTCATTGGGGATTTGACAAGTTGTTTATGTTTCAAAACTGTTGACTCCAGCAAGATACTTTACGGTGGAAAAACTACACGAGTTTGCACTTAGTTGTCATGGTGACTGTTTAATTTAATTTTGTTACCAACCAATTTGACCAGTCAACGATATAAGCCCTTCACTCAGCCATTGACCAAATGCAAGCTACTTGCCAACAGTGTCATCATCTGGCCTACGCTGATAATGCATGCAAGCTTGATTACAACAAATCCTCCATCAGGACAAGATGCCATGCCTGCATGATGCAATTCATCATCTGTGTTCATCATCTTTTGGTCTCTGATGGAATTGTTGGCCTTGGTTTTGATATCGCCTTAAGCTTTTAGGATTGAAGGCTTGCTCAACAACTACGCATCTGTCTGATTGAGCACAATTTTGTTATTGTGCTCCGAGGACAATTTTGAGGAGATTTGTAGAGACGGAGAGAATCAACCATCATGAATTCTAGTGATTCTAGTAATCCTGGTACATACCAGGATGTAGACAATGAGTCGCTGTTCGGTTGTGTAGTCATGATTTTGACCATCATTCCAACTGTAATTCTGAACCCGTTATGCCTGGTCATTCTTCGTCGTGCCGACGGTATCCAAGCAACGACGAAGATATTCATGGCTTCGCTGAGCGTTTCCGATCTGTGCTTGGGGATTTTCTGCGGGATCCCAGTACTGATTTTGGTGTTTCCTACACAACATCTGATTGGTGATTTCCTGTGTGCGTTAACAGGAATTGTGATCCCACTGTTTTATACCCCGAGTATCCTGTCCCTTCTCTTGTTAACAACGGACCGATTTGTTGCCATCATCTATGCGTTGCGCTACCCGAGTTTAATGACCCCAACGAGGTCTAAGATCATCGTTGCTATCTTATGGTTGCTGACATCGTTATTTTATATCATTCTGCTGGGAGTCTATGACAGACAACATATTCTTAAAAATCACTGCTCGCCAGTATGTCGTTTGTGCCCTGTCATTTATGTCTCTATTATCATGATATCGCTTACGATAATCATGGCAATGTACATGCGCATTCTGACAGTTGCTAGACGCCAGGCGCGATGCATCGCCGCTCAGAATCACCTAGGCAACCCTCTGGAGGGACAGAATGCTGTTCAACCAATCAGCACCAAGTCTGCTACTACTGTGCTCATCATATAACAGGAACTGCCTGCATCTGCTGGATGCCCCAAGTCGTCGTGTTTGTCTTAATAATGGCAGACCAAGTTTCATACTCGAACTCTTTTTTCCTCTGGGCACAAATTGCAGCAGTTACTAGTGGCTGGTTGGATGTGGTCATCTATTACTGGCGGAACAGGGAACTACGACAAACACTACGTGGCTTGCTTGCCTCTTATAACTGTTGCTAAAAATCACAAAATAAGCAGTGGTCAATTTAGTACTGCTTTCCATGCCATGCTACTGATGCAAATTTCTTCCCATCCATGGTAACTGTAAGTGAATCTTGGAGAAGTCACTTTGCAGAATTGGCTTAAAACAACAGATATCTTGATGTGGGTGCAATTTTTTAGAATATCCTCGCTATGGTATGACTAAGGTCAGCAAGTTCTTTTTGCTGCTACAAAATGTATGTAGTGGCTTTGCAGGGAATAAATGCTTTGATCAAGCTTCACTTTGCACTTTCAATTTACCTAACTTTGACCTTCCGGTAACCCAGAAGTAAAGGTCAAATTACTTCGCTCTTGTGACTGACAATGATTCTTTAGTCTACTGACTCACTCACTAAGTCGGCCACAGCCGAGCCTAGTATGGTCTACCAAATTAGAAAATGTTGTAAAATTGATTAAGTGGATTAATTATGTGGGGATCTTGGGACTTCCTACTGAGGTAACCTTTGAGCTGCATTTGCAAGACATTTTGACCCACAGGTGCTGAATTATAAAATATTTTTTCAATGACACCCCAACCGGCTGGAAGTGGCTTACAATGTTATGCATTGAGTGCGTTTGATTACTTCCCCCGCGCTTACTCGTGCAAGCGCGACAGCATTCGATTACCTCTCACTTGACTTCTCCAGCTTACTCGAGCCTGCTTGGGTAAGTATCCCATAAGGCCATGCAATAAACATGGCTGCCAACGTGATGTCTGACGGGAACCTCAGGCCGTGTCTGAAACGGCCTTCCAGAGCTACGGCTATACATCTATTGTCGGCGCGTCCCAGCGTATTTTCAATGGGCGTGGGCCTTGACCTTGCTCTAGACAGTTGATTCGGATGCAGCCTGTGTCATGTCAAAGTTCAACTTTCCAACCGTTCGTTTATTTAGCTCCACTGCGCATGTCTGTCATCACGCGAGGAGCCAGGCGCGAGTAAGCTGGGGAAGTAACCAAACGTGTACTTGCAAAGTATTTTGCACTTGCAAAGTCTGCGCCGTTTCAGAGACAGTTCCCACACTTGACTGCTGCAGTTCAGAAGTGTAACGCCTGTTTGCTGTGATGGTTCTTTTTGGAATAACTTTGCTGTCTGATCTTTCTGAGATCTTTTGGCCCAAACTGTAAGACGTCAGGGTCAGAAACATTCATATGTTTATTATAAATTGATACGGAAAAGTCTGCAGTTTATGCGGATCTGTTACACGGTACCCTCTGGAGACATGTGCACAACAGGGAACAAAATATTGTATAAGTCTCCACAGAGCAATTTCTATAGGTGAATACGTCTCCACAAGGCTATCACGAAATAGATAGATGGATTTTACTCAAAAACTAGCAATTTTCAAGGTGTGTTGATGTGTCACAAATTGAAGTATTTTATGTAAGGGATATTAAGTCCGAATTTTAGCAAAGGAAATTAATTCTAGTTAAAACAGGAGCATTTTGAAAGTACACTCGTAGACTTTAGTACACGAGAACAAAGAAATGACTCCACAAGGATAGAAATTTCAGTATTTGTGTGTATATTATAGACCTAAACGTTTACTGTCGCTTATTTCATTCTGTACACTTTGCAACTGAATTTGGTTTACATTTGAAATATCATGTTTTATATCATCCATGGCAAAAAGGATGGAAAAAAAGGCTGATTGGGAAAAAAGAAAAGCAGATAGTGAATACACCATAAGTAACAGCAAATCTCAAACTGTATTATACAAATAAAACACGGTTTGAGGATGGAGTCAATATTAGCTCCCCGAGGCATTAGAACTTTGCCTCTGGAAACTTGTCTGTCAACTTCCAATATCGACAGGAGTAATATCGACTATCCACCTGAACTAAACCATGTTTTATTAGTTTTACTATGCCTCATACATATTCACACAAATTTCATGAAGTTATGGAATATGTTTTCTCGGCAAAATGTTTTTCTGCCCCAGCTTTTCATGTAGCTGCTACTGCTGCTAGGGCTATGTTCACAAGTGCACACTTCCCCAATGCGCTAGTTCCACGATTGCTTCATAAAGTGCATGAGTAGCAGACTAGCGCATGGGTAACCAGTGCAATAGTCTTCTACGCATGCGAGCTTGGTAAACAGCAAAACTAGCGGCTAATACGGGATGGTGAATGGACCAGTGAGAACTTTGCTCTCGATTATGAATATGTATGAGGTGTAGTAATATTTTGTGCGCCACACTTTCCACACGAGCCCCCCATTGGCTAGTTTAATGCACATTTCAACTGCCTATATTTCTCCGACTAAGCTTTCTTAAGCTTTAGAACTATTTAATGTATATTTTCATGAAAATTCATAGTTAAAAATATGGTGGCCCTACATGTTTTGTTTTTAGCATACATGGAAAATAAAAGTGATTTTTTTTTTTTTAACTCACAGCAGTTTTGGTTACTGTTTCTGATTCTTTGTTGTTTGTGTGTTGTTAGCTCAACCAATCAGAATACAGGAAAGATTGATGAATAACAACACACTATAGCAACCAATGAAATCCCATCATCTGTCAGAGGGTAATTACCGGTATCTGTCCCAAAATCCAATTATCAGAGTTGATTTCTTATTGGCTGTTATGGTACTCATGGAGCTGGACCCATCAACGTCAATATTCATTAAGAGACAGTCAACAACAACCAAAAAAGCTTATATTTTTTGTAACGGAAACTGATAATGCCTCGATGAGAATGATCAAGCTTATTTCATTGGAGATTTGACAAGTTGATTACATGTTACTCAGAACTGTTGACTCCAGCAAGGTACTGTGGGTGGAAAATGCAACTATTAAGGTGCTGTTTAATTTTTGTACCAACTATCTCAACCTGTCGACAATACCAGGCCCTTCACTCAGCCGTTAACCAAATGCACGTCACTTGCCAAATGCGTCAGTATCTGGCCTACGCTCATACTGTGTGCCAGCTTGATAACAACAAATCTTCCATCAGG